TCCCCGCAAGAGTTCTTACCCTGATGGTTGCTGATTTTATTATTGCTATATCTGCTAAATTAATGCAATTCCTTTTCTTATGAATTTCTTGTTGTGTAGTGCACTTTGCAACCCACCCTGAGAACCATTTTGACTAAAGGGGTGAGATGGAAAACTAATAAATAAAATAAATAAATAGACTGGGTGGTTTGGGTGTCAATCGTGATGAACGGCCACACTTCCAAGGCACTGAACCCACGACCGGCACGACGATTACTCACCCTGCCGCTGAGCCATGGCTCCTTGCCAAGGCATGTCCCTTCCTCTCCCCCAGGGAGAGGACCTGTCAGGGACCTGACCCCCCATCCACCATGATAATCCTGATACTGTTAAAAAGGAGTGGGGAGGCCTGGTTCACGGCCTCTGGCACTTGGTCAATCACCAGTGCATTTGGCTCATTTCCTCCTCAAGCCCATGAGGACTAGAACCTTGCTTGTTTTCAAACCAAAGAACCAAGCACAGAGAGAGCAGGCAGGGAGGGAATATGCATGAGCCTGGCAAGGGCACTGACTTTCTAGGGAATGCAAATGTCTGCTATTGAATCTCTAGCTTAGCTTTTAGATCTTGGACCGCTGCCAGTTGCTCCCTAATTCTGCTTGTGCAAGATGGAGACAGAGGGGTGTCGCTTGTCCAGAAACCTTTGAGCAGCAGTTTCTATTTCATGTATACCAAGTCTCTGCTAATCATCCATTTGCAAACAGGGAGCGTTCCCTCCCGCTGTTCACAAACTCCAATTCCAATCCATTTTCAGAGGATTAAATTTCTTGCCGCGTCTCTTTCCCTCCAGCTGCGAGCGGAAGCCCAGCATCATGCCCACCGCGGCTTAAAGGTTTCAACCTGGTGGAGGCTGAAACATCTCTCCCCCTCTGCTCGGGATAAATTTGGCAGCCCTTTGCCAGGCGAGCCCAGGACCCAAAGAGCGACCTTTTGAATCCGTCCCTGTGTTTCCAGCAGCAACTTGGTCTCTGACAATTAACACACAATTGTCTTTTTCGGCTCCTGACATCGTCTGCATGCACCCAAAGAGAAAAACCTGCCTTTTCTCCTGTCGCCTGCAACCCCAAGATGGCATTTGCCCCCCTCCCGGCGATGGACTTCCAAACCTGAGACATGGGTGGAGCGCAGAGAGCATTAAGCCCCACAACCAGATGCTTACTCCGGTTGCAAAAGATCCTATTTCTGCACATAAATGGGGCAGCCCCATGGCTGCCGGGCATACGTGCGTCCACTTTGGTTTGCGGACAACGGGGTCTGGGCAACCCGCCACCAAAAGGGTTGCCAACTTGGATGCTCGGGGCTGGTCTTCATGGCCAACTTTTGCCCGTGTCAAATTCCATTTCCGATTCCTCCCTCCTCACCCTCTGCCCTGATTGCAATTTAGCTGTACGAGAAGTGCCAAGAGAAGGCCTCTCCAGCCAGAGATACAACCTCCATGTGGGGAAAGAGGGACTACCTGACAGACCCCCAAAGACAAATGCCGGAGGAGCTCTTCCATGGAAAAACACGGCAACCCACTCCCTGACTGCCCAGCCTTCGGAAGTACGGTTCTGCCCAGGAAATGCAGAGTCTTCAGAAACACTGGACTTTTTGGAGTTGCAACAGGCTGGTTTGCTTTATTTATTTATTTAAAAATATTTCTCTGCCGTCCTGTTGGCAAAAAGCCTCAGGATGGCTTACAGTATAAAATATAGCATAAATAAATTCCTGACCTACTCTGGCTGCAGTTAAAAACATAGTAAAGACAATATTAAAACTTATTAAAATATCGCTGCAATAAAAGGGTCTTAACCTGGCACCGAAAAACAAGTAACGATGGCGCCAGGCGGGCCTCTCTGGGGAGCACATTCCACAGATGGGGCGCCACCGCAGAGAATGCCCTCCTCTGGGTACTCACCCTCCTAATATCTTTCACGGAGGGTTCCCAGAGAAGGGCTTCTGTTGCTGATTTCAAGGGGCGGGAGGGCATATATGGATGCAAGCGCTCCTTCAGGTAACCAGGACCCAAGCCGTTAAGGGCTTTTTAAGTGATAACGAGCACCTTGAATTGAGCCCGGACTTCGATGGGGAGCCAGTGAAGCTGGCAGAGGACTGGGGTCATGTGAGAGTAACGCCCCGTCCCCATCAGCAACCTGGCTGCTCTATTCTGCACCAACTGAAGTATCCGGACTGTCTTCAGGGGCAGCCCCATGTAGAGCGCGTTGCAGAAGTCCAACCGGGAAGTGACACACGCATTGATTTTATATATATTGGTTTTATATGTATATAAAACCAATATAAATATACTGGTTTGCTTGATATTCCACATTTCCACCCAAAGCAGCTAACAATGTTAAAAGACAGATAAAAACAACAACACAGGCCTAATTAGAGGAAAACACTGATTAGAATTGAAAAGGTTCAGCACCACGGACAAATCCTATAAAAGTGCAGGCTGCTGCTTCTTTATCATCCCACTGAGAACATGTGGGAACCTTCTGTAGGCCTGGTGAATGGTTAAGCGTCCCATGTGGAAAACGAGCATGGCTCAAATACGTCCAGGGGTTTTTAAGGGGTGGGGGCATCTCACATACGAGCAGGGCAGCTTAGCCGCATCTGGTAATGACATCATTTGGCCCAGTATTCTGTTCCCAGCTGTGGGCAGCCTCACGTCTGAGACCTACTGTTTCAGGGTTGGGGGACTGCTGCCTTCCAATCAAATTTACATACATTTATAAATTTATATTTATTTCCTGGCGTCCACAAGGACCTCCCACCTCATCACTTTACTTCAAAGTGGGTGGATTGCGTTACATAGACTGCTTTCAAGCAAACATAGAAACAGAGAAACAGAGTGAGTCAAAAGGGGCCTCCCGAGCCATCTAGTCTGACCTCCGGCTCCAGCTGGCTCCACTCACGACATACCCACCATGTGCGTGTCCAGCCTGTCCTTGAACACCCTCACCGATGGGGCCTCAATGACCTCCTGGGGAAGCCCATTCCACACCCTCGGGGTCCCAACTGCCAGGAAGTGCTTCCTGGCATCCAAACTGAACCTGGGTTCCCTGAGCTTGGCTCCGCTGGAGCGCGCCCTGCCTTCCTCCGCAGGGGAGAACAGGCACCAGCAGTGTGGTGGGAGGGGGAGCAAAAGCCCCCTCTTTAGCCATGTGATTTGTATTATGATTACATATTATTAGAAACATAGAAACAGGGTGAGTCAGAAGGGGCTTCCTGGGCCATCCAGTCTGACCCCCGGCACCAGCCGGCTCCGCTCACGAGATGCCCACCATGTGCACGTCCAGCCTGTCCTTGAACACCCTCACCGGTGGGGCCTCAACCACCTCCTGGGGGAGCCCATTCCACACCCTCGGGGTCCTGACTGTCAAACGTACATGTTTTACTCGAATCAAGCTTTTCCACTGAACTTTCCCTCTCCTGACCTGAACCCTCACCAATCCCCACACAGGAGCACCCCTCTCATGTGCCCAAGTCATTTGCATTACTGATCTGGATGAGGAAGTGCAGGGAAAAGCCAAGCCAAGCCTTGCTTTGAGCAGGTTAGCAGCTCAGCTTTTGTTAATCAGCTTTTCTGTCAAGCACTCCAAAGTCAGGCAACAAAACAGCCTCTGGCGCCTTCCAGCTGGTCTGCAGCATCGCGTTGGCCCTTCTCCTGCGAGACCTACGGGTCCGAGGCTCCTCCTGCAAGCACTTGCACAAAGAACCGCTTCCCCCGTCAAGCCACCCGGGCCTGCTCCCCCCTCCTGGCCATCTCCTGTTCCGGTTTTTCCTTTCCTGCTCCTATAAACCAAAGCATGCCTGGGGCACTGAAGGACCATGGACTCTCCATCAGAATAGTTCTCCAGAGGCCACACCCACTTCTCCTGGCTCCGCCCCTTCTGCCTGCCGCAGCTCCTTCCAGGGTCTTCCAGCTTGGGCATGCTTTCTCCCATTTGGAAAAGCCGAAAGGTCGAGTTGCCGGGCGGTAGCTGCTTTGAGCTGCGATGTGAAGATTCTGTGGGGTTTTTCCAGGCCTGGCTGGCCACTGGAATGCCGGACCTGGGGGGCTGTTTTAAAATTCAATGGGACCCTCAGATGGGAAAAGGTTCTCTCACCCTGAGATAGGGTCGGAGACTGAACAACGGGGTTTCTGCATCAGAGATCTGTGAGCCAGGGTGGCGCAGTGGTGAAGAGCACGGGACTGGGACTCAGGCGATCAGGGTTCGAGTCCACGCTCAGCCATGGAGCCAACTGGGCGACTTTGGGCCAGGCACAGACTCTCAGCCCAGCCTAACTCACAGGGTGGTTGTTGTGGGAATAAGATGGAGGAGGAGAATGATGTAAGCTGCCTTGAGCCCTTGGAGGAAAAAGGCAGGATATAAATTGAAAAAAAAATAAAAATAAAAAAAAAAACCTCTGGTGGACGCGGCCCCAAATGGGAAGGAAACGTAACAGCTTTGGTATTCTGGACTTCCCCTTCATCATAATACCCAGGGTCCACAAAAGAGAGGAAGGATGATGGAAAGTTTGGGATTAGATCAGGGCCAGGACTTGAAAGCGATGAACAAAACCCAAACCACGACACAAATCTATCTGGAAGTTGCACCCAGATGACCTGAAATCCCAGTCCGGCTAGGGGAAACTGAATTTCCCTGGTAGGAAAGAGGCTGCCATCTGCACATTCTCAAGGATGCTCTCTTTCATTTCGAAGCTTCCCAGGCTGAGCTCAGGCCCCACCCCATAGCACCAGGCCATCTGGAAGCTTTCCTTTGCAGCTCGGTCATGAGGGCCAGAAGCTTGGTTTCTGGAGACAAACAAGCAGCTCTGACTGAGCCGAAGTGTGCCTGGCGCGGCTGGCTTTTGCCCCGACCCTCGGTGCCTCCGGGGCATCCCCAACCTGCCCTGCCCCAGAGGAGAACCACACCTGTCCGTGCAGCCTTCCACAGCTTCAGCCTCCTAGCCGTGCCGCCCCGGGTCTCTCGCCTTACCTCGACCATCTGGCCCCAGGCAGTCCGGGAGTAGCAGAGCAGCAGGGAAGGCGGCCCGCCGAGCTGGCCAAAGGGGTGCCAGGCGTGCGGGTTCCGCGCCATCTTCGCTCTCCTTCTCCGGGCCCCTCTCCTCGCCGTGTGTGCAGAGCCGAGCGCGGCCTCGGAAGGGCGGGTGATGGATGGCCAGCCAGCCAGCCGGCTGCCTGGTCCCCCGCCCCCTGCGCGGCATCTGCCGGCAATGCCCGTCCTCTCCCCGCAGCCCGGGAGCCATTCATTAATTCATTAGGCCGGGTCCGCTTACAGGCAGCTCTGGCCCGCGGAGAACGGCAGCCGTGGCAGCAGGGCAGCTGGGCTGGCGGAGGAGAAGCGGCGGCGGCCGCCCAGCCTGGGGTCCCTGGGCGGCAACGGGCTTCCTTTAGCAACAGGCCTGCTTTCGTTCCGCAGAGGACGGCTTCCAGACCACCGGCACCCTCCTCCGCCCGACTGTCCAGAAGGAAAGATAAGAGAAAGCGAAGTATCCTGTGGGGAGAGAGTCAGCGCTGGTCACCTGGGGTGAGCTGCAATTACCTCCAGGTGACCAGCCTTGAATGCTTTTTGTTTGTTTGTTTTGAAAAAACAGCAGCTGGAAGAGTACCGCTCCTCTCCTCTCCTCTCCTCTCCTCTCCTCTCCTCTCCTCTCCTCTCCTCTCCTCTCCCCCACCCTTCCACTCAGGAGGGTGAGGAGAGGATGCACAGAAAGTCCTGGGAGGCTGCAGGTCAGACACCTGTGAAGAAGGCAGAAGTTCAAACACCCACTTTGGACTGGATGGAATGAGCCAAGAACCCTTCTGCTGCAGGTCTCTGATGGGACGCCATCTCCTCCAGGGCGCAGGCTCCCGCGCTCTCAGCAACAGAGTTTTTCTTAACCTCTCGGCTTTGCCAAGCCACAACATCCACTTGAAGAGAAATGTTCAAAGCTGGTTTGACAGGCTACCTGCTGCCTCTATATAGATGGTTCCAATTAAATTCTGTGCCTTAGAATGCACTTTGAAACGCGAGCCACGTTGCCCCGGCATCCCACCAGGTGCCCCTATGGAGAGCATCTTTCAGCTGGCCAGCCCATTGGTTCAGCACCGCTGGAAGGGCAGCGGGGGCAGACAGCTGCCCAAAACGAGCCCTCGCTGTCTCAGAGGGGGGGCAGTGGGGCCCCCTGCCAGCAGCTCCCTCCCAGTTTGGCGGGCATCCAAGCCGTTTCCATGAATGTCTTCGCAAGGCACCATGGGATTCAGGGATGTGGCCTTTCCTTGCGAGCCGCTCCGCTCCCGAAACTGAGAACAGCCGAAGGTTTGGCTGGAGTGATTTCCGTCAACAACTCTGCCTGACACATGTGCAACGGACGGGGGATTTCAGTGGAAGGGGGAGATCCCGGCAAGAAAAGGGAGGCGATCCGGCACTGGACTGAGAATCGCTCTTTCGCAATTTCCATCCTTCCTTTCCATTCCAGTGGAAAGTGGGGGAATTTCAGCTGCCGAGCTGTCAAGGAATTCTTCTTTTCGCTGCAAGTGGGTAAGCGCTGCTGCAAAACTATCGTTTTATTTGTATATTACACAACGTCATCTCCTTGTATTTTTTTTTCCAGCAATAGGGAAAGGAGGTAAAAGTTGATTCCATTTTTAAATTCTTCTCTTTTCTATACCACCTAATAGCCAAAGCTCTCTGGGCAGTTGAACTGAATGAAATGTAAAACCCTAAATGATGACAACATTGTTAACCGTAATATACAGGAAGCTTGAGCTTAAGAAAAAACCAAAGTAAGAACTAGAATAAAAGTTCAAAGTTCTAAAAATATGTAATCACTATACAATTGCATAGTATTTTTCCTGCTTTTAAAACTTCCCATTGGTGTGTTAGTTTCCAGATTTTCTGAAATAACTTGATGTGGCCACAAATGTGGGTTGAGTCATTTGGCAAAAGCCACAAATAATTTTGGGGTTTGATGACTCTTAAATATCGGGGTGTTTTTACAGAGCTCCGTCAATGTCTTGGCATTTTGCACTGTGCAATTGAGAGAACCCTGCCCTGGCACGAGGGAGACAAGCTTAGGTTGTGTGTACTTAAGCAGTGTGGCATAGTGGTTAGAGCATTTGACTGGGGCTTGGGATCTAGGTTCTCATCTTTGCATGGCCATGAAGCTCCCTGGTGGCTTTGCAGCGGTCACAGACACTCCACCTAGCATACCTCAGAGGGTTGTTGTGAGGAAAGAACGGAGAGGGGAAAGACCATGCAAGCCACTGTACAGGCAAATGGCAGAATAGAATCCTCGAACAGTAGAGTTGGAAGGGGCCATGAAGGCCATCCAGTCCAACCCCCTGCTGTTGCAGGACACCAAGTCACACAATAGTTACACAATAGAAAGCAATATTTCTAAGAGAAGGATAAATTAAACCTAGTTACCAACTACAATAGCCTGGACTCCCCAGATGTTTTGGACCACAGCTTCCATCATCCCTGCCCATTGGCCATGATGGCTGAGGACCATTGGAGTTGCAGACCAGCCCTTCCAGAAGGTACCAGGCTGGGGAAAATGGGAGCCAATCTGATGGTTTGGATCACAGCTTCCATCAACCTTGGGTAACATGTCTATTAGCTAGGGATTATGGGAGTTGTAGTTGAACACTTCTAGAGGGCTTCAGGTCAGTCTAATCTCCATATTCCCCTTCCATTGCCTCACTTACCTGGTGTGTGGTGTGTAGCACCACAACAAAACAGAGAAGGAACCTTAACAACGGTGACCTCTGGCCACGAGGCGTTCTCTGCCTTGGCTATTCACAGGGACGGGTGGAAATTTTCTTTCTGTTCACTTTCGATCAGAATTTACAAAAATCCACCAAGTTCTCCATATTTCTGGCAAAAGAATCTAGATTAACACATCTGAATGTGGGAGGAAAACCAGCTCGGATGGGTTTGTCCGTGCAAGCCCAGGTTTTGGCATGCTTTGCTCATGAAATGGTGGAGTGAGATTGCCGCATGTGCAGTCAAATTCTTTCTGAAAGCGTGTTGCCACCTTTCCCCCCCCCCCCAAGGGGTTCCTCATCCGGACTGGCAGATCTGGCGCGGCATGGTTGTCTCTGTCCTGGAAAGGGCCTCGCACCTATTGGGCTCAGCCGGTGCAAATGCAGAAGAATTTCAGGTTGTTTTTTATACGAATTGACCCCAAATTTGTAAAGTTCTTTGTATCTGGGAGAGAGAAACCTGAGGCAACCACATCTGAATGTGGGAGGAAGTGAAAGGGACAGGTTTGTGCAAACAAAGGTGAGGGCTGAGTGGCATTTGGGTTTCGGGGACTTTCTGGCTTGCAGTTTCTCCCTGGTTGGTCGAGCAGAACGGTTGCCTTGGATCCTCCAGAGTTAATCCTACAGATTATCTTCATCCAACTGGCGGATGGCAAACACCTGAAACAACAGAGGAGGCGGACAGGAAAGCTTTGTCCGTAATCTGTGGCAAAAGCACTTATGGGGTGTTTGCTTCTCCGTTCCAAGAGGTGTCCGTTTTGGCCCCCCTGCCACTGGCCGTTGCTTTGGGGAGCCTGTGGCCAGCTGTCTGAACTTGACGAAGACTGCAGCTCCAGATTCTGGAGAGGGGCCACGGCGGCCGCTCAGAACAGAAGCACGGCCTTGTGCTCCAGCGCCTTTTCATCGGCTGGGTTGCGTTGTCCTGCACAGGCAGCTGGATACAAAGTCGGTGCAGAGGGATAACTTGCTGGAAACCTGCCACAGAATTTGGGTGGAGGGAAGGGGAAGGGACAGTCCATGCCCTGCCTTGGCCTCGAGGAAGAATACTCGAAGTCACGCTCTCTCCGTTTGCAAAGCAGTTAGAGGAGATGAACATCTGACTTCTGCTTATTCCACAAGAAGCATCTCGTGGCCAGAAAAAGAGGACGCCATTCATCCCCACTCTAAGCATTTCTAAGAATTCACCCTCTGTGCTCTTCATTTCCAAAGCTGTGTTCACAGTCAGGCTCTGCATGCCACTAGTCCTTAATGAGCTTGCTGTACTTCCCATCCAAAGCATGGGCAGAGAGCTGGCAGTGAGACCTTGCAGGGCCAGGGCTTTTGTTTGTCGACTTCTCAGCACTGCTGGGGACCCTGTACTGGTGGCACTGGGGTGGTGGTGGGGGGGAATCTCTGTGCAGGGCTCTCCCAGCAGAAACATGGCATGTGTGACCAGTAGCTGTCATTCCAGCTCATGATATTTCCCCGCAAAGTCAGAGCCGTCCACCAGATACAGACACCCTCCCAGTCCCTGTTCAGTTTCCAGCTTTGGTGACCTCTTTGCACGTCCTCTTTTGCATTCCCCTTTCTTGTATACTAAACTAAGATATACCTGGCTAAATACTCCAGTTTGCTGCTGGCTCTTTGTGTGGGAGACACCGCATGCTCAATAAGGACTAGCAGCATGTTGAGCCTGCCTGCGGCCACGGCTTTGGGGACCAAGAGGAGAGAGTGCAAATTCTGAGCACTGTTTGGAGGGGTGGCATTTGCTCCCCTCTCCGGCCAGAAGAAGCTTCCTGTGGGATAAGAACAAGCATGACATGATGTGACGGATATGCACCCAGAAGGACATCCTAAGGTTGTCCCCCGCTGCGCCCCGCAGGGAGTTTAATAGCTTTCCTGTTCACTGATTCAGCACTTCCCCTTCAGCAGTTCTGAGCCTGCAAGGCACCGCTCTGGCTCTGCCTCAGGAAGTGAGAGCGCTGCCTCTGCAGCATGGAAGATTGAGGTCACTCCTGGTCGCACGGAGCAAGCAGAGTGCCAGAAAGGGCAAGCTTGGGCTGTGTGCTAAGCGCTCGGTGAGGCAGTGAACGGGAGCCAGCATGCGGCGGGTGGGCTGCATTCATCTCGCTCCACCAGCTGCCCATGGTAAGCCCCCAAGCGGGGTTTGCCCATGTTCCACAGCAACTGCAGCACCTCCTGGAGGTCGCATATGGCCACCAGGGCTGGTAGCCACTGGGAGCTGCCTCCCCCATGCGTATTTCTCCAGCCCCCTTTAAAGCCACCCAAATTTGCCCATCACGACTTCTTGTGGCAGGGAGTTCCACCGTTTCATGATGTGCTGCGGGAAGCCCTTCCAGGCTTCCCCAGGTATCGGCTTCACGGGATGACCCCTTCTGGCTCTAGCATTATGAGAGAGGGGTCGATGTCTCCTTTCCCACTTTCTTCACCTGAGGAGCCCTTCTGCACACCTACGTCCCATCTAGAGTTGCAACAAAACTCCACAGGACCCTTCCCTCGTGGGACGGCACAACCGGCAGCCGTCTCACACATCACAGGCCACAGAACAAGCAAGGTGCTGCGCGTGATGTGCCAGAGGGGTCCCGCTCGCCAGACGCGTGTGTGGGCTTGATCCTGCCATTGCATCTCTCCTTACCAGCCCTTTTTCTAAGCTAGAGAACCCCCGCGGTCGTAACCCTTCCCCACAGCGGGGTTGACGTGAGTTGTCTTTCTCTGCCCTTTCTGCAGCTTTCACGACATCCTTTTTAGCTGGAGTGGCCACAATGGCTCACACTCTTCCAGGTGTGGGTGTGCAACAGGTCTGTACGGAGATGCAGGACATAAGGTCCAAGTGGCCATGTTGCCTATCAGTCTAACTTGCCAGGGATGCCATGGTAAATTTGGAAGCCTCCGGAAGTCCGGAGAGGAGCCCAGAAATAGCAGTCCCAGTGCAGATTTCTGTCAGCAAAGCAGTCTTGGCCTCCACCAGGAGGAAGCTGCTGTAGATCAGAGAAGGGCTGCAGAACCCAAGACTTGGGACCGAATATGGGGCACCCAGAGTCCCACAGCAGCCCTCTGGGCTTGCATGGATGGCCACACCCCGTTCTTCTGGCCACACCCCTTGCCTCCTGGCCACACCCCTTTCTCCAGCCACCGGTCGCTGAGTGGTTTCTCACCCCGGGGGCATTTTTGCTTCCTTCCTGGCAGCAAGAGCTTTCAAGCTAAAGGGTGTGGATATTTGGGGTCCGTTGGCCCTCCAGTCTCACCCACGTCTCGCTAATTTTTCAAAGACGAAGCTCCAGGGCTCATTGCATGTGGTCCGTTCTCCTTGAGTGGTGCATTGGAAGGTTCCTTCCAGTTTTAGGGGAGACGGGCCCCCTCCCCGTCCTGTCCCTACGATGCACGCTGGGGTCCCGGCAGGGCAGGGCAGGGCAGGGCAGGGCTGCTCTGTCCGAGCTTGCAGGCGAGATGGAGAGGGAAGCCGGCCGAGTCACGGGGAGCAGAAAGAGCCCTTTGTGCAAACCTCTGAGCCTGGGAACGGCCGTGGGCTGCCGTCGCCAAGCCGCATTCTGTCCTCGGGGTGAATGCCCGGTAGCTGCAGCGGGCGCTAAAAGGGTTTTCATTCCTTGGCTCGTGGAGCTTCTTTGACTCACGGCCTTACAGTACGGGCTTTGTCTGGAGCCGCACCGTCCGGTGGGCTGCAAGATCAGCAACGAATTTGCGTGGGGCTGGAATGCCCTGACCAATCTAAAACGAATCCTTTTCTTAATCTGAGTGCTCGTTAGCATTCTGAATACTGGAAGCCCCTCGACTGGGGTGAGTAACACGCCGTCTGCACGCCCCATGCCAACACGCCAGTCCTTGGTGTGGAACCTCCTGACAAACTCGCCACGGCACCAGCAAAATAAACGTCTTGAAATTTGGAACTCACTAGGGCCTACGGAATTCCAAAGTGACTGTGCTGATGCCCACAGTCCTGACTGAATTTCAGGAGCAAATTGTCAGCTTTTTTCCTGCTGCCGCAGCTGAAGTTTGCACGCATCAAGGCAAGAATCAAGTCCTGATCCACTCCAGGTTTTACTGGGAACCTGGAAGGAGCCTCCCCTGGTATCTAATATATTTGGGCCCAGGATTCAGCACCATGGATAGTTCCTTCAGAGTTCAGAGTAAAATCTGGAGCCGATGAATAGTCCCTCTGACCCGGGTTCTGTCAAAGCAAAGAAATGCTTTCGTGGCACCTTCAAAGACTTCCTCACATGCATGAAGCATTTGCCTGAGAGCGTCACCAGAGTGGCCACACAGAAATGTAGTGGAAAGAACCCCGAGTTGCAACAATGGCATTAAAGCACTTTAAAACCAGCTCTGTGCCCGTTCGTGAACAATTTCCTTTTTAGAAAACCACATCGTTATCTCAATTCAGCCAGGATTCTCACTCCCATCATCAGGAAACGAAACTGGACTTCTCAACAAGCTCCGGGGAGCAGATGCACCTTGCAGTTTTCTCCCAAGGTTCCTTCTGTCCTGCCCTCTGGTGAAAACCTTAACAGCCGGATGAAACCATTTTTAAGGTGCAAAAAGCCCTATATGGATGGATGAAAGAAAAAACTGACTTAGCAGCATCTGATAAAAAGAATCGCATTAAGAAGTGTGAGGCTTTTCACGAGGTGCCTGTGAGCAGAGGAAAAACTTGACCTGGTGCTGAAGGGAGGCCATGTCGGCACCGGACTGGGGCCACCCCAAAGAAGGCCTTCCACCCTCTGGCCATCTTCTCCCCCTCCTTTGCCGGAGGCACTCAGAGGTGCTCCGGGCATCCCGGTCCATCCATAGGGGGAGATGCGACACGGAGGTCCCCCTTCTGGAAACGGGTGCCCCGCGCTTTCCCCGGGCAGCTTCGTGAGGCCACAGGTCAAGAGCTCGGCTAGGCTGGAAAATGCAGCCCGGACCTGTGTTTCTCCAGATCCTCTTTTTCAAGCAACCATTCCTCACCTCGCAGCTTTCGTGCATGTGCACCGTACATGTGGCTGGAGAGCACTCCCTGTTTGTAAACGGCAGAGTGAGGTGCCTGACTGGGTGGAACCTCTGAGCTCACCAGCGTTTCGTAACAGCAGCTCTGGCTGGGCAGCGTGTGTCATCCAGGAAGCAGGCCTGGATCCGTACCCAAACAGAAGGGGAAGTCTGGCTGTGGGAGGTGACGAGGTGCCAGTGCAGGAATGCTCGCCCAGAACAGTTCGGATTCCTAGCAGAGGTCACACACACGATGCTGGCTCTGAGATACGGTGAGTTTGGGGGGTCCCATGCCCGCCACATTTTGATTTGTATTTTGTATTTTGATGTGCTCATAGCAGGCTGGGGTTCTCCGTCAGATGCATCTTTCACTGTTGCCAGTGCTGGTGAAAGATGTATTGATCTGTACAAGCTTCTGTGGTTTTTCCTTCTTCTCCGGAATTAGAAACATAGAAACACAGCGAGTCAGAAGGGACCTCCCGGGCCATCTAGTCTGACCCCCGGCTCCAGGTGGCTGCTCTCATGACATGCCTACCCTGTGCATGTCCAGCCTGTCCTTGATCACCCTCACCAATGGGGCCTCAGCCACCTCCTGTGGTAGGAGGACCCCCAGTCAGGACCCCCATTCCACACCCTGGGGGTCCTGACTGTCAGGAAGGGCTTCCTGGCTTCCACATGGAACCTTGGCTCCCTGAGCTTGGCTCCGTTGGAGCGCGTCCTGCCCTCCACTGCAGGGGGAAAAAGGACACGACCCACCTCTGTGTGACTTGCATTGTGGGTCATTATGCATTTGTGATGTTTGCGTGATTGTGTCCATGGGTTTTATGGATCGTGTTGCTTTGCTAGGGATCGCTAGCTTTTTTGTCCAGTGGGCTGTTTCCTGCTATGTTTCTTCCACCATGACCTCCAAGGTAGTTACCTGAGGTGCCCAGGTGGTCTCCCCTCCAAGCAACTGGCCAGAGGAAAACCTGCTTAGCATCAGCTTGGTGCCTGTCTTACCTGCCTTCAGACCATACCTGTGCCTGAACATCATCATCATCATCATCATCATCATCATCACCACTCTTATTATTGCTTTTCACCCCACTGGAGGCAAGGAATCTAAAGTTTCAGCCCTGCTCCTTGGGAAGTAACAGTGTTGTGGATCATGTACAGAGTGGAGCTTGCACTCCACAGAGCAATTTATTTTCATTTCATTTCCATCCTGCCCCATCGCTGAAGCTCTCTGGGCAACGTACAACAACGCATAAAAACAAAACAATAAAATGCAAGAAAAAAAGCAAGCTAGCATTAAAATACATTTAAAATGGGTTTGAAATAGCTAAACCTCTGCACTTCTAGGAGTCGGAGCCACATCGGTTCTTTCTGCTGTTCTTTACTTTATAAAACATGTTTCAAGGCAAAAGGTCTTTCATGTACTCCTGGTTGTGCTGGAATGCAACCAGTTGATGGCAGCTTAAGGGGGAACCTGTCTTAACTTGCCAAGCTTGACCCATACCTTGTAGCGGATTGGGGGTGCACGAAGAGGACGAGACTTGGGGTGCCATGCTTGGCATGTTTCCTGGGAACAAGCCCCATTGCACATGCGTGACTTACTTCTGAGCAGACGCGTCTAGGTTTGGAGTGGAATGTAATCAGCATTTTGTTGCAATTATATCAGGTGGGGTGATCCGTACAGAGCGATGCGAATGGCAGGGCCAAGATCGTGTGGTTCCAATGCACAAAAGTGCGATCTAGTCTGGGGTAACCCAAGTAGACCCACTGAAATGAGTGAGGCTCTGACTAACATCCAACACACCTGGAGAGGCCAGGCTGGTGAAGCGTGGCCCAGCATTATGGAAGAAGGAAGGGGAAATTCTGCAACGGTGCCTTCCCCAGAGCTGCGGTAGGTGCCTTCACCTTCATCCCTGCAGCGGGTGTGTGGTCAGAGCATCCTTCCCCACTGGTGGGGGTGTGAGTTCTCTTGGGGTAATTTGGCCATCTCTCTGCAACTCTGGGATCGACTGGAATATAGTGTGCTCAAAGATCAGAGACAGCTTGCACCAAGGACCTCGCAGGCTCCAGTAGCTGGGCTGACGAGTTGGAAGGTTCATTTCCCCCCACTGCGACACAAGGCTTGCCGCTTGTTCGACAGGCCCTGGGTGGGTTTCTTGTGGAGTCCAAGAACCTTGGATACGAGAGGGTTATGTCAGGCTTCAGTGGTTGAGTCAGAGCTTGTTCTGATTGTGTGTGGACACACGGTGGAATGAGGCAGGAGGAGAATTTCCCATCAGACAGATGGAACTACAGAGCCCGTGTGTCTGTGTGTGTGTTTGCTGGCACCCCTTTCAGATACAACCAAGTTTGGCTTTCAGTCAGTTTTCTCCAGCTTGGTTTGCAGCACTTCCTAGCCCAGAGGTTATCTGGTAGCTCTTTGGAGATTTCTGCTGGATCGACAAAGATTTCTGCTTCTCGTTGACAAAGTTATTCCCACGCCGAAGTCACTGCTGAAACAGAGAGTGCAAGGAGGTAACCCGGCTGCGTAGCTTCTCCTTTGAGAAGACCTACTGAACGGAACGAGCGTGACATTATCACCCACTCCTGCCCCATTCAGTTCAGTGGGTCTACTCGAAGGAGGACTCACATGGCATGCAACTGCAGGCTGAATTATTGTGTGAACCGGTGAAAGCGTTGTGGCTCAGCTCTGGCCCTCCAAACTTGTCCTTGGGCTGAGCTTTCTGTGATTCTACGTGGATGGCTTTTGCACCAGACTGAGGATGATGGGCCAGGAGATCCTAGTGAAAGAAAAAGAAATCCAGAAACAAACCCCCCACTTAGAATGTGCTCCCCAGAGAGGTCCGCCTGGCGCCGTCGTTATTTGTTTTTCGGCGCCAGGTGAAGACCTTTTTATTTAAACGTCATTTTAATTGTTAACAATATTCACTTATTCATCTGGCCAGGACAACTTCTTTCCTTTCCTTTCCTTTTCTTCTTTTCTTTTCTTTTATAACTTTTCTTTTATAACTTCTTTTATATCGTTTATATTTTTTAATATTTATTTATTTTATATTATTAATTTTAATTTTATATTGTTATTTTTGTATTGTATTGTATTTTATTGTGTTGTAAGCTGCCCCGAGGCTTCGGCAAGGGGCGGCATAGAAATGTTCTAATAATAATAATAATAATAATAATAATAATAATAATAATAATAATAGATGAGCCCTCAAGTTTACCCACCCGGTCACAGGGTGAACCTTGCTGTTTGCAAGAGGTTTCCTTCCCTTGCCCGTGGCTACAGATCATCCAAGCTCCATCCAGAGTCTGAGACAAAGGGAGGGCTGCTTTTAGCTTGAATCCCGGCGTCTCTCCCCAAAAGTGACAAAAGGTCAAAAGGTGCTCCCACCTGCTCTCGCCACCACACACAGACACACAAACAGAGGTTTTCTCTCCCTCAAACTGCATCCACTGTGCAGAGAATTCCAGCTTGTCCCTGGATCCGTCAGATCAAGGCCAGCCCTTGCAGGGAGTAAACAGATGCCAAAGGGGTTAGTCATGGGAAAGGAGCGGCCCTGGCAGGCAGGCAAGCGAGCTCTGGAGCAGGAGGGGTGCTTGCTTGCAACCCAGCGGCTTTTCCCATCCCTCCCCAGGGCTGCTGGACTGAAATCCCACCAGGAGGTCCAAGGAAGGGATTTGTGGAGCAGGCCCCTGGGAGGGTACCATCTCGGGGAAGGATGCGGGGGAGACCCCGGTGCTGGCTTGAAGCACCGTGAAAGCTAGCCTGCATGGACCGTGTTGGCACTTTGCAGCCACTCTGGGCAATTTTTTTTCTTTTTGCTTGGCCCCCATGGAATGCTTGGGGGTGTGTGTATGTGTGTGTGCTTCCATGGGGTCCATAAGGGTCTCCTGCAAACCCTCTGCTAAATCATGGAAGCATAGAAACTGAGCGAGTCAGAAGGGGCCTCATGGGCCATCTAGTCTGACCCCTGGCTCCAGCCGGCTCCGCTCATGACATGCCCGCCATGTGCAAGTCTAGAATCCACACAGCTTCTGTGGTTTGGTGCAGAGAGAGCTGGACGGGGGACTCGGAGATCTGGGTTCTAGTCCACCTTCATCCATCAGACTCCCTGGGTGCCTCTGTTCCCACTCCATCTCACCTACCTTGCAGGGTTGTTGTTGTGAGGATAAAATGAAGCTATGCCGGCTGCCCTGGGTCCTTCACCAGAGGAGCAAAAGCAGGATAGAAATGCAATATTAGAATAATAAAAAGATTAAGAATAATTACTTCATTAGCATGATTGTGCAGTACATTGGAATAAGAATTCTGACTTCTTGTTGCACCGTCAGGAGGGAAATTAGGGCTCTTAGTTCCTAAAATGTAGAGTGTTTGGGGGCAGGGGTTACCCTTTCAGGGAAGCTCTGGATAAGTGCTAAGACACTTTGTGGATGCTCAGAGTTATTGCTCTTTCTTATTTTTCATGGGCAAGGGATAGGGCTGGTACTCGAAATGGGTTCTGGGTTTGAATCCTGACTCACATTTTAGGATTTGGCCAAACTAGACCAGCCTGGCAGGAAGACTGAATTAACTTGTTGATTTAGTTCTCATTCTCTCTCCCTCTCTCTCTCTCAGTGCAACCGGCTTGCCCTTAAAATGCTAGGAGGTTCTTGGCTTTATCTTGCAGTTTGGTCAAATTAACGGCAATGAATTCAAATAAATCAGTTTGGAATAATTTAGGGAAGGACATTTGGATTAAATCCAGACATTTTCGTATTGATTAGCCTGTTGACTAAAACTGGCTGTGAATCTGGAGACCCAGGAGTTGGCTACCTCATGCCCCAACTGTCCCAGACTACAACCCCCATCAGCTCCGGCCGGCATGGCCAGTGCCCAGGTGCAGTGGAAGTTTCAGTCCAATAACACCTGAAGCACGTCAGGTTACTTATTTCTTCCTGAAGCTGTGAGACTGTTGCTTGCTCCAGCCCAGGATCTACAAGTGGGACTTCATAACCCTACCTTGCAGGGTTGTTGTGAAGCTTGTAGGGAGATTGTGAACAGAAAGCACTTGCAAGCTCCCTGCATTTAATGTTTAAGGGTTTATCTTCACAGGAAATGGAAGGTCATGTGGTCATAAGGAGGTACAGTAAGCCCAGCTTTACCTGTGGCGTTCCCTCTCTTGGCAATTCATAAAATTTATTATGTTCTATTGTATTTCAATGTATTTTATTGTGTTGTAAGCCGCCCTGAGGCTTCGGCAAGGGGCGGCATAGAAATGTTATAATAATAATAATAATAATAATAATAATAATAATAATAATAACAGCTTTGTTTGAATCTTACTCAAAGTTCAGCTCATACAATAAACCCGACTTAACAAAGTTAAGAATGCCCAGCTGACATTCTGAGAGTGGACAGAACACGTTGGCACTTTCGGTGTTGGCCTTGTCTCTGTGGAACTCCCTCCTACATGATCTCATCTGGTACTGTTTGAAATCCCATTGAAATCCCATTTATTTAAAACTGCTTTAAATTGGAGAGGCTGAGCTTGTTTTCTGAGTTTTAGGGTACATTCCTATCATGCTTAAGGAGAAGAAAGGCCTACAAGTTCTAGCATGTCCCAGGTGTTGTAGTTTTCTTTCTGTCTACTTGCCCAGGATTATGCCCTTATTGGCAGTATGGTGTAGTGGTTAAAGGTGCTGGAGTGGGGACTCAGCCATGAAGTTCATTGGATAAGTTAGGGCCAGCTGTGGTCTCTCAACCTCACCAACCTCACAGGGTTGTTGTGTGGATCAATGAAGCAGAGGAGAACTTCCTGTCACCTCGGGTTCCTTGCGAAAAGAAGAAAAGCAGGGTGGGAGCATCATTCAAGGCTCATAAAACCGTATGAATATCCCCACTGTTGTTAAATTAGGTTTCTCACATGGTTTTAACTAGCTCCAGAGGAGCTTATTGCTAGCTCGGGAAATGCTTTAAATAGCCGTTTTAAGGGACCATGTTTTATTGAAGTTCTATTTTTTAAGCATCTTTTTATGCAAAGCTCCATGTGGAAATTCTCTCGTTTCATTCCCCTCACCAAAAAAACCAAACCAAACTGGGATAGGAAAAGATAAGTGAAATGACTTGCTATGAAAATTCCCCATTTTGTGCAAGGACCGTTCGCGTACAGGATTTGGCCACATTACAAGAACTGGTGTTCGCATTTCCGATTATGACATGCCCCGCTGTGTTTGACTTCCTGCAAGCAACCCTGGCGTTCGTTAACCGGCTTATTACCTGTTGGGCCTTGGAGGCTGCCTTTCTCGAATCCCTCAACAGAGAAGTTTTCTCTGTGTGTTTCCCGGCAGGAAAGGTCAAATCCATCATCTTCTACCTGCTGCATTTTTGTTAATGGTTCAGCTGTTCGCCCTGCCAGGAAAAAGGGGGGGAAATGGGCCTTTTGCTGGTGAGAATTTGCAAAACTCTCATTTTTTTCCTGTTAGGCTTGGCTTTGTTCACCACAGAAAACTTCCCAATAGACTCTTGGTGGTGCAACGGCAGTTAAAGACTCTGCAGCCAGGGACTGCCGAAACTCCCTGCTTCCTGTGTTATTCCTCTCTGGCTGGAGAACCTTTTTCCCTTCTGGAAACTGGGCAGTGAGCCTTCCCAGTTTTCAACAGACTGGTTTGCAACATTAAAAAGCCAGAACATGTGTATGTTTAAGCAAAATGGCGGCAGATGATTGTCACCAAACAGTACAGGTAAAGGTTGGCAGGCTGGACTTTGAGCAACATGGACCAGGAGCCTTCCTAGCCTCTGAAACACCCTTCTGAGTGTTTTCAGTTTTTATTTTTCTGCATTTCTTTATTATGCAGATTGGATATGATGGATACAGGGTATATTTAGAGTGCATGGTATGGAATTGTTAAAACTGAGTCATGCATTGGTTTTAAATCTCCATGAAGTCCACATCTCCCGGTGCTTTTGGGAGTAGTTTGGTCAGAATGCCTGAGGCTGAATTAGGTCAGAGAAAGTCCCGTATTGGTTGGTTGGTGGATTGATATTTCTAGCCTGCCTTTTTCATGCCAAAAGATCTACAGCAGCTTCCATAATTCTCCTCCACCTCTCCATCTTATCCTCACAACAACAGCCTTGTGAGGTAGGTTGGACTGAAAGCCTGTAACTGGCCCAAAGTCACCCAGGGAACTCCATGGCTGAGCGGGGACTCGAACCCAGATTTCCAGAGTCCCAGTCCTGCTTTCTTAACCATGACATCACACTGGTTTTCCGTAGAGGAGGAGAACAGGGACGTTGCCCTAATTCCTAATTACAGCTAATTCCTGGACCACAGGCTGAGAAGGTCATAAGAGCAGAAGGAAAATCCTGCTGGATCAGACCAAGAGCCATCTCGTCCCGCATCCCACTCGGCGGTCCTCAGGAATCTCCATCTATGGATGACCTTCTCCTCCAAGAATCTCCAATCCCGTTGAAACCCACCCAGATTCGTGGCCACCAAGGCATCTTGTGGAAGTCAGACCCATCGCCTGGCCCCGTGCTGTGTGAAGAAGGCCTTTCTTGTCCCAAACCTTCCACCCACCATCTTTTTTTAAAAAAAAAAGAGTTTTATTTGAAATTAAAATCCTAAAAGAAACAAAAAGAAAACTACAAACAACATCCATCATCAAAAACATCGAGCCCGCTGGGTCAGCCCCCACACCCTTCTTTTTCCATTTATGATAACTTAAACACATATTTAAATCTAAGTCAAGTCCCATTTCTCTAGCCAATAATAAAAAGAGTCCCAAGTTTGATAGAAGTCAGTATCTTCTTTCTCCTTCAGTGATAAAGTCAATCAATCCATTTCTGCAAAGTCCAGAATCTTTTTTAGAATCAGTTCATCGGTGGGTAGTTCCTCACTTTTCCAGGGTTGAGCGATACCCACCATCTTCACGGGATGACCTTTCTGGGTTCTAGTATGATGAAGGGGAGGAAAAAGTCTTCCCTATCAGGATAAAGTATCTCACACTTTTATAGAAATGCTAGTAATGATTTCCAGATTTTCCCTTGTACATGTAAATTTTGCAAATGCATAGAAATCTATGGCATCTCTAAGCCGCGTTTTTGGTGCTGCCAATGTGGCCAACCTGGAACTAAAAGACCTTTTGAAGAGCTTTTTGGTCTGCTAGTATTCTCCGTATTTCCCAGAGAGCTGGAACAATCAGCTTTCTGAGCCACGATCACAATTCTCTTCCTTAAAAGTGGGTAGGGATCTGGCACAGTTGACTGAACAATGAAGTTCCTGGAAGACAGAGCTGGTACTTCTTCTTTTTAAACTCTTGTGCCAAGAATTGGTTTCATCCTGTATTACAATAGCGGGCTTTATTCTCCAAGTGCCCGGCCTTTGTGGAGCCAAATTGGCAGTAACCACATACGATGTAGAAGGAAGTTCTTGGCGGACCACCAGGTATTTTGAAAATACAATAGACCTTGTGGATTGTGCACTGGTTAACTGTTGGGCTGGGAGATGGAAATCTAGAGGGAAAGGATAATGGGATGGGGTGGCTGGGAGAGGCAAGATGGGGTAGTGATGTCCTGGGACACAGGGGCCCTGGGTTCCAGTCCCCACTCAGCCCTGGAGCTTACTGGGTGACTTTGGGCCAGTCGCTGCCTCTCTGCTTAGCCTACCTCACAGGGCTGTCGCGCAGATAAGAGTGCAAGGAGCTTCTTCTAGGTGAAAATAAATTTTAGGCAGCACTGCAGATTGCTGGGACAAAGAAACACTTTCCCTCATGTTTTGAAAACCTAAAACCAAACCGGTGTTTGCATTTGTCTGTAGCACTGCTCGAAATATCCAAGAAGTAGAGAACTTGGGAAGCAGAGAACAGAAATAGCAAGTAATTCACTGGGATTTACCAAGGCTGGAGAACAATTATTGTCAGTTGACATCAAGGTGGGTGATGTGGCCTAGTGGTCAGAGGGCAGGTGCATTTTCTAAGAGGTTTTTGTGCTTTTGTGCTTGTAAAAGTATCTTTGGAAATGAGGGGAAATTTTAGAAGCACTAATTCTCCCCTGAGCACACCATCGCTCTTATGAGTGGGCAGGAACAACAGCCATCACCTCAGGGATCAACGTGTCCACTGTTAAGTCCCTCCTTTATGTTCTTCACCATGGCGAACCTTCATATTGGCTGGGTTCACACAACAAACAACCTGCGTGGTCCCCATTGCGTTTGGAGGGTTGCCTTGATGTGCCTGACAGATGATCCAATGGTTTCTATGCTCGTGTGATTTCCACTGTTCTCCATAGTCCTCCCTCTGCTGGTTTGTATCCCATCAGCCACCACACCTGAAACCCAATCCCATGCTGGACGGCTAGAGCAGCTCCTAAAACAGCTGCTGCTCTTTCCCGGGGAATCTATGGTGGCGGCTTATCAGGGCCGTGGAAACCACGATGCTGGGTACAGACAGACAGAGAAACCACGGTGAAGTGTGGAAACCCTGCAGCAGACCGTGGTTTCTTATGGTGGTTTCTAAAAACCAAACGTATCATGCAGAAATAGCACGGCACGGTTCGTTCGCCCACCAGGACAGGATATTCTGCCTAAGGAACCTCCGTGGCACCTTCTGCTGCTGAGTGGATGCTTCTCTACCCTGCCGTAGGACATGGGCATCGCAGAAGTGGCTTCCCTGCTTCTGAGAACAGAAGAGACATTCTCCGCCCGTCTTGCGCGGATCAACAGCGTCGTCCTCAAGCCCCTCCTCCAGTCAGGTGAGAATGGGCCCCCAGCAATGGCAAGCTTTCTGGCTTTGAAACAGTGCCTTTGCCAATATCTTGATATTCCCCAGCCCCTTTAAACTACCTTACGGTTTCATGAGATGTTTATTTCTCCACCTGCCATTTCGATGGGTTGGGTCTATGTGTGTTCTTCTCTGAGCTCCATTTTTAAAATCATTTGGGATGCAATCCTTTTGCAAAGACTGGAAATCCTAGGAATTGGATGGCCTGTGAGGGCCACCCTGTGCCGGGCGAGAGACACGAGGGAGGCTGTCTTGGCCACTCCACCACCTGCCACTCCGCCTTGTCCTAGAAAGGCTTTTCGGCCCGTCCAGCATTTTGGAGAAGGAAGCTTGTGAGAGGTTTTGAAGGCACGCGCCCTCCCTCTCCAGTCCCCTTCCCTTTCTGCTCACTACAGAGCTGCAATTCCCAGCTCCGGGGTCAGAGTGCTGAGTTTTCAGGGTATCCTCTGACCCCCCAGTCTTTCTAGGTGTCATGAGCTGCATTTTCCTCCTTTCACACACTCATGCCAGCAGACCATTTCTTTGTGAAAGCTCTTTATTCTCCAAAATATATCCAGTAAGCATCATCACCACAGAAGGCGTCTCTGAGCATGCACACAGCGGCTCGTTGAACCCAGTCGAGTGACTACTTCCAGGAACCCTCCTTCTGAGTCTGTCTGGGCTCCATCCCTCTGGGAGGGTCCTTCTGGAAGCAAGCATACCTTTTCCCCATCGGCCAACCCTCCAGTTGGCTAGCCCTCCTCTCCCAACGCTGTGCCATGGGGTCAAGAGTCATTCCGGCTTCATCTGGCTCTGAGGACCCCTCTCCCAGGCGCCCTCCCAACAGAGGTACATCTTGGTTACTCCCAGAGCATGCCTTGGCCCCTGGAGAGAAGCACCTCCAGGCATCTCCAACCTGGAAGCCCCAAATTCCCAGGCCTCTCCGCCTCCCCCGCTCTTTCCTCTGACTCAGATCAGCATGGCCTGGGGGCACAGGCCAAGGGCGACTGCCCCTCTCTTTCCCGGCACTGGGGGCCACAGGATCGCTCCCCTAAGAGTGCACAGATGCGTCTGTGTGCAAAGATCGCACTGCTGCTCGGGGCTTTTCCACCACACGGTTCTTCCAACCTTCGTAAGCCACCCAGAGACCTTCTGCGCTAGGGCAGGCCTGCAACCTACTTCTTCGTCCAAGTCCTCAATCCAGTGCCTGGACTGTGGTGGACAGTCAGCTGGCCGGGGATGATGGGCATTGCAGGAAACCATGAGAAAGCCATTCCAAGCGGTGGGTCAGCATACTCTCTGCGACCCAACGGCATGCCCAGCCAGGGACCATCCAAAACAGCCCCCGAAGGCCCGTTCTCTTCCCCCTCCTCCCCCTGCTCTGACTCCCATTCCCATCTCTTAAGGCTCCTTTGAGAATAAGAAGCTTTTCTTACGGCTGAACGACCACTTCCAAGCTCTCTGGGACTTGATAGAGGAGAGCTGGAGAACGCTGAAGCAGCATCTTGGCACGCCGGAGTTTACCAGCCCCCGGGATATCTACTTGCTCTCGAAAGCTGACTTGTTCCTGGACACCTACATACAGTGAGTACCAGGGCAGCCCTAGTCTTTCAGGGGGGTACGGTGCTCGCTTCAGCCTCTGGGCCTCACTCTGTTCTGTACTTCTAAGCAGAATGCCGCTCCTTGCCACAATCTATCTGGACAAAGCAATCAAGATCTGGGGCCTGCCTCTGATTGCCACCTTCAAGGAAAACCTCGGGTGGCAGCCAGAAGAAGAAGGGTCTTTTCAGTGGTGGTCCCACTTCTGGAATCAACTTCCAACTGAGGCCCACCTGGCATCAATCTTACTATCCTTTCGGTGCCAGGTGAAGACTGTCCTTTACTGCAGGACATTTAATTAGTTTACGGGCCCTTTGTTAGCTGCTTAAACAGGTCTTTTGATTTAACTTGTACAGGCTATTGGATCTTTTTTTATGCATTATAATTTGGCTTGAAATGTTTGCATGGGAATCCTTGGACGATGTTTTTCATGCTGCTTGTGTTTTCATGTGCTGTTGTAAACCACTCGGAGAGCTTTGGCTATCGGGCAGGTTATAAAATAAATAAATAAAAATAGCAGCCACTCTGCCTTAGGAGAGATGTTTCAAATTTGGCAGGGAGGGTCACACTAGTCTGGAATTTATCAGGAAATCAGCGGTCAAGGAAGTTGGAGCAGGGGGGGATACTAGAAAGGGACCCAACTTTCTGGGGGATCCCAAAGGGCCAGGTTAGGACACCGGGAAGTCAAACTCGACCTGATTATCCGTACACAAGATTTAGGTGCGCAGCTTAACATTTGTCTTTTGTGCTTGTTGCTCAACAGGTACTTTTCCGCTTTTGCAAGCTGTGTTGCCGTCCACGTCTTTGAACATGCGGCCAGAAATAAAAGGTGAGCCCTGGGAAGGACTGAGCGAGCGGCGTTGGGGCTGTTGGATGCAGCGGCTGTTGCTCCCATCAGCTTCGCTGCCCCAGGTTCTCTTTGGCGAGGAACTGGAGAGGAGGAATGATCTTCTAGGGTGCGGTGGCAGGGAGAGGCTGCCAGAAAGTGCCGCTTGATCTGCTGCTCTGAAAGAGCTTCCAGAATTAGGTGTGATTTGGGGAAATAGAAGTCTCTTGTAAAATAATATAACAAACAAGGCTTTGGTTCAGTGAGAGGGGAGAAGAAATCTTTTTATACCTTGACCCCATATTCTGAAATGGAAGAATCCAGCTGACGTGTGGGAATGGTTTGTGATGCAGACTGGAGGATGCCTCTGGATGTTTAGACCTTTCTAAAAATACAGAATTACATTGCATTTCTCTTCTGCCTTTTTTCCTCTTGCAAGAAACCCAAAGCAGCTTATTTATTTATTTGCTTATTTAAAGCTTCTATAAACCGACCCTCTGTTAGCATCTCGGGAGAGTTTACAACAAACAAGTAAATAGAAATTAAAATAGCACAGCGTGCAGTATAAAACACATTAAAACCAATGAAATGTTAAAAGAATGGGAAAATAAAAAGGGTTTGGCCTGGTGCTGAAAAATAAAAATGTTGGCACCAGGCAAACCTCTCTGGGGAGCATATAGAAACATAGAAACATAGAAACAGAGTGAGTCAGAAGGAGCCATCTGGTCTGACCCCCGGCTCCAGCTGGGTCCACTCACAACATGCCCACCATGCGCATGTCCAGCCTGTCTTTGAACACCCTCACCGGTGGGGCCACAACCACCTCCCGGGGAAGCCCATTCCACACCCTCGGGGTCCTAACTGTCAGGAAGTGCTTCCTGGCATCCCACTTGAACCTTGGTTCCCTGAGCTTGCCTCCGCTGGAGCGCTTCCTGCCTTCCTCTGCAGGGGAGAACAGGTCTCTTCCCACCTCCATGTGACACCCCCTCACATACCTGGATGTCGCCAACAGATCCCCTCTGAGTATCCTCTTCTCCAGGCTGAAGAGGCCCAGTTCCCTCAGTCTCTCCTCATACAGCGCCCCCTGCAAATCGGCCACCAACCTTGTGGCCCTTCGCTGCACTGACTCCAACCTGGCTATATCCTTTCTGTAATGAGGGGCCCAAAACTGAGCACAATACTCCAGTTGCGGGCGCACTAGAGCCGTGTAGAGTGGTAGTAATACCTCTCTTGATCTGGAAGCCACACTTCTGGCTATGCAACCAAGGGTGGCGTTCGCTCTCTTGACCACCGCATCACATGGCTGGTTCATGTTCAGCCTGCAGTCGACCAGCACCCCGAGGTCCCTTTCACAAGTGCTACTCTCCAGCCACTTGTCCCCTAACCTGTACTTATGACCCCCATTCCTGTGCCCCAAGTGCAAGATCTTGCACTTCTCCACATGGAACGCCATCCTGTTGTCTCCTGCCCACTTCCATAGTCTGTCCAGATCCTTTTGGATCTGGAGTACCTGCTCCTCAGTTGTGGCCACGGCCCCCGTTTGAGTCTCGTCTGCGAATTTGACTGGCAGACTGTTCGCCCCTCCTTCTATTCCATAATTGGGGTGCAACCACAGAGAAGGTAGCCACCCTCCTAATCTTTTTATGCAACCCACTTCCTCCTCCTCCTCTCCATTATACCCTCACAACAACCCTGGAAGGTAGGTTAGGCTGAGGACACTGGATGACCCAAAGTCACCCACAGAGCATCACGGCCAAGTGGGGACTAGAACACTGATCTCCCAGGTCCCCAGTCCAACCTCTAACCACTATGCAACCCTGCCTATCTTAAACCCTCACGTCTCCAACATTCTGCATCTAAGTGGCACCATGAAGACATGGGACATCACACCCCGGCTGGGTTTGTGTGATTGTTGTGTGATTGTGTGAGAACAACGCAGAATGGGCATCGGTCAGGTGGGGCGGGATGACCCATGGTTTATCTCCATGAAGCATGACTCCGTGGCCCCTCTCCTGCTCCCCTCGCGTTCCAAAACCCGAGGCGATCCTTCGACATGCAGCTTTCTTATTGAAGCCCTGCAGTCGGCAGGTCGGTTTGCCTCTGAACAACCTTTGGCCAAGCTGGAGGAGGAGGCCCGGGGCACAGGAAGAGCTGCGTCCCACGGGGAGCATCCCTCCGGTCCCCCCCTTCCACGCCGGCCACTGGATGCTCCCTCCGGGGGCCTCTTGCAGGGAAAGCCGGGCGGCCGGCGAGCGTGACGGAGCCCCCCGTGCCTCCGCGCTGGGCCAAGGCCTGGGTCTCACGCCTGGCCCTGCTCCCCTGCCAGGAGCCTCCCGGCTCTTCTGCAACAGACCGAGAAACTTCACCGGGCAGCTTGGAGGGGCCCCAACGGGCTCAGCCCCCGCTGGCTCCTGCCCCACACTTCATGGGTGAGCGGCCGGCCCCTCTCCCCCGGAGGCAGGATTCTGCAAGGCCGGCCCGTGGAATCCGCTGGCCGAGCTGCAGAGGGTCCTGGGCGGAGGTGCCCTGCCATTACCTTCCTCAGTCTCATCCTTCTCGCTGCTGCCGTCGTAAAAATAGATGTGCTGGGTGGTGACCTCCAGACGGCCCAGGATCACGGCCATGATGGTGATCAGCTCGCAGTCCTCCGAGATCACCAGCTTCTCCCGCTGGCTTTGCTCTTTGGGCTCCACGCTGGAAGGAACCGGAAGCTGAGTGGGCGCTGCCCAGGGTGCCGCGGGTCCAGCTGACGCCAGGAGCCCAGGCCGGGTCCCGCTGGGCCGGCAAGTGGCCACCCAAGGGAAGCTCCCCCTTCCGGGAGGCTGGAAGCACTCACTGGCTATCCAGGAAGGAGAGGTCCTCTTCAGCCAGCTGGTCGTCCTGCAGCTCGCTGACCTTCGCTTCTCTGGCCACGGCCAAGGGGAGCGGCTCGGCCGGGTGGTGCAAATGGTCAGCGCCTGGAAGGGGGCGGGAGCCAAGGCTGGGTCAGCCCCGGGCACCGGCCGGAGGGACAAGCACGCGATCCGAGGGAACGGGCAGCTGGGGGGGAAGCGCCACCCTGGAGTGGCAGCCGTCTCCCCAGGAATCCTGGCTTCGGGGAAGGGATGGAGATGCTGCATATCCGCAGGGAAAGCAGAAAAGCACTCTGCACACAGGCAGAGTGATCCGGGCCAGAGCGTGGGGCTGTGACACCGATTCCCAAGTGCGGGAGAGGCACCTTGCCGGAACAACGCCAGCCATGGGCAGCCGGAAGGCTGGGAATTCAGCCCCACAGGGCCCTGCAGCTGGAGGGGCAAGGTTCGGGAAGCTACCACGGCCGGCCCTCTACCTGCCCTCCCTGTATTTAAGCGATCATCCAGCAGAAAGGTTGGCTAGAAGCAGGGCCTTTCTGACCTAAAATCTTCCCTGTCATTTTTTCTATGGACGTGTAAATGCCTACGGACTTTTGAGCTAAGCCCAAGTCTGTTTGGTGCATTTTTCAAGAAACCCATAAACGGATTCTGGTTAAGGCACTATGTTGTAATCCGCTCTCTGCTCATTTTTACTGGGACTCTAAACACATAAACCCAGTTCCTAGAATGGTGGCAATTGAAGGGTCAGAAAATTGTGAATTTGTATATTCAGAGAGAAGCAGGCTCCCCCCCCCCCCCGATCCTCGCCACAGCAATTGTCCATAATGCAGCCTTTCCTCTTAGTCCCGACATATAATTAAATTCCTCTGAAGATTCTGTTGTGTACTCCAGATTAAAGCAACTGGAGAACCTGGACTAGGAGAACTTGGGAGGTCCAAACTTAATAATAATAATAATAATAATAATAATAATAATAATAATAATAATAGGCTCCGATCCCAAGAAACAAAACCTTGTTCTCTTCTTTATCTACTCAGTGAAAGTAGAACATTACCAAACTTTAGCATTGATAAAAAGATTATTCATAAATGTAGAACCTGTAATAAGTTTACAAAAGAATGGAATTAATGAAGACGTTCACACAGAACATTCACAGGGGAATCATAGCTATGTTATAGAATTACACCATATACGAAGCCAGACCAGTTTATTTCTACCTTTTTTGGATGCAAACTTATCAATTCTGTCATTCAAATCAGTATCTCACAGTTTATCATTTTCTGTGCAAGGAATGTTTAATTCTTGGGATGTTGTTGACCATGGATCAGTCTTTATCCTTTTTAGTCTAGAAAATGGTATTTCATCTAGGCACATCCCTGATTTATTTATTTATTTATTTATGGATTTATATCCTGCCTTTTTCCTACAAAGGGCTCAAGGCAGCTTACATCATTCTCCTCCTCTATCTTATCCCCACAACAACAACCCTGTGAGGTAGGCTGGGCTGAGAGTCTGTGACTGGCCCAAAGTCACCCAGTTGGCTCCATGGCTGAGGGGGGACTCGAACCCGGATCGCCTGAGTCCCAGTCCCATGCTCTAACCACTACGCCACACTGGCTCTCTGGATTTTTATTCCTTCAAATGAAATAGAATTATTGCCAATTTTTAATCCATTACTGTTTGCATGTGATGGAATCCTTCTTTGGCCTGGTCAGCGGGTGACCCTGTATAGGGTCTTGGTTTGGGGTGGGGGGCATTACCTGTCCAGCTTCTTCCAGGTGGCCCGCGGGGTCTCCAACCCATTAATCTCTCTGATTTTGAACCGTTGCAGAGAAGTCTGGAAGTTGCACAAGACGGCTCTGCAGCAGCTCCTGCACGATTTCTCTCCGGACACGTCCGTTGCGATAGCTCTCCATGCCGTGTTGCAAAAACCCATCCGGGATCAGCTGCAGCAATACAACCTTGTTCTCTCCAGGCTTAAGGAAGCAACTGACCAGGTACCAGGTTGTGCGATATCTGCGACAAACAAAGCGGCGTTTCCATACCAGCCTCCCCAAGTAGCGACGGGAGAAAGGCATTTAGTAGGAGAACCTGGGGCTCCAAATCCACTGCAGCTTTTATGCTGAGCTTTTCAGGAGCTATCCATTGTGCCCCATGGTGGTGAACCTGCCTTGGGAAAGGAGCTGGCCTACCCAGGATAATGGCATGGCCAGGTAATGCTTTCATTCCCCTCTTAGAGTTGTGATTTGCCCATCTGTGACTACACACTTTTTACTGCATGGCTGTGTTGTGACCTCTTTGCAATTCAGTGTCGCGAAAGTCCTGCCTTCTCACTTCCTCCAAAAGGGCCAATGTTGTGATTTGGGGTGGAATACTCGGACCTGGCCAGCTCACCAGGATTTCTTCTGGGATGCACCTAATGCCGAAACCAATCCCACGCAGAAAGGGGTGTTACACAAGTGTCTTTGCAAATGTTGATGTTGTAATAATTTGAGACACTCTTCCAGCCCTGGCACCGACCCCAAAAAATGAGTGTTCTTAACTTGTTCTGACTTTTAAGCTTTACCCTTAAAGCTGGCCCTAAACCTAAGGGCACAGCCGTATCTCAAATGCCTTGTAATTTCATCAACATAGATGGGGGCAGAAGCCAACACGTCTCAACAATTCCTGTACCACATTTTAATATTAATTTAGTTCAAATTGTCCTATAGCTGAAGCACTCAGGGTGACACTGAGAAATCCAAACATGATACAATCAAAGCAAATGCTATCCGGAATCACAACTCCTAGAATTTACATTCAAATGAATATAAAATTAGGATCAGATTTTGGTGTATAGATTTGCCCTCTTTAAATAGGTTATGATTAGAGGATACGGAGTATTCAAGTTCATTGAGATGCCCCGAATTCTTCCTTGTTTACTTTCCCCCTTGTTTTCTTCCACAAACATGAGCGACTTGTTCTTTGGTTTTTGCAAAGTGCAAATTTTCTATTGAAAAAATACACAGTTTGGAAAGTACACTTTTTCCCTACCAAAAAATGTATTTTAAATAACACACCTTTTCCCGACTACAACTGTGCACTTTCCCACCATGGGCTGAAGTGTGAAAAGTCTGAGACTTTTTTTGGGGGGGGGGCAGGTTGGGGCAGATGTGCATTTCTGAAAATTTGCAGATGTGCCCTGATGCAAATGGATAGTTTTGGAACTATTTTTGCAAGTGTGCCTTTGTCTAAGGGCTCACTTTGGACTGCGAATGCAAGTTCAGAAATTTGCAAACATTTTCATTGATTCGATTGCTTCTATGCCTTTCTGCAAGGTGAGTTAGAACAAATTAAACTGTATACAATGTAATCCTGACCCTAACCCTAACCCTAAAGCACCACCATCCCATAAAGCAACGGAAACATTAGTGGCAACCCTAAACATTTCACCTGGTGCTTGCAAGAGCCCATCACACGCCCTCAAATGGGAATGCAGGGAAGCTTGAACCTGGCTCAGAAAAACGGACAGTCCTGGTGCCAGGCAGGCCTCCCTGGGAGCAATTCCAGGGCTGGGGAGCCACCCCCAAGCAGCCCTTTCCCTTGTCGCCATTTTCCGCTCTGGGAACGTGGTAGGAATCCCCCCGGGATGTGAATCCATTGGCTTCTCTGGGCCCAGCGGCCCAGACTCTGGTCTGCTTTGCAGCGGCCCAGAATCCTTGAGCCCTTTGTGGAGAAAAGGCAGGATATAAATCGAAATAAACAAACAAACACTCCAAGTTCTGAGTGAGTGTTCCTTGGGCTGAAGAGACTCTTGCCCGGAAGCGAATGCCTTTCCTCTCCTGGCACACCAAACGGCTGCCGCTTGCGGGGTGCAGGAGGAGCATATCGCCAGTCGCCCGGCCTTCATCCCATGTGCTTTTGGGCTCGGTGTGCTCTGTGAGGCTGGGCCGCGTGCGAGTGGAAGGCCATGGACTCTGGAGGGGTGGGCTCCATGAGGGTCCACCCGACCCTTCTGTCCTGCCCTTGGGGGTAGCCGTTGGAGGGGGGCCTGGGCGGTTGATCATGGGCTCTTGACGTGGTGCTCTCCAACCGTATCTGAGCAACGCGGATTTGTCCCCTGACAGTTCTCAGAGGAGGAAGAAATCGCTGCTGCCACTGAAAAGTTTGCAAACCTGCGTTCATTTGTTGGCCAAGTCGTGGATGAAGCTTGTCTCACCGGAAGGCTGTGGAAGTCCCTGTGCCATAAATTCACGGTGCGTGATAACATCTCTGGGGCATCTCTGTTTCTGTTTATTCCAGGAAACTACACTCCCTCTTTGGAAGGGTGGGCAAAAACCACCATCCAGAGAGTCATGCCTATTAGGAGGTCTAAGAGTATAATTATTATTAATAATATAAATACCAAGGGGGAGGAGGAGGAAGTTACTCAAGAAATGAATAAAATCATATGGGTTTATTTATTATTTATTACTTGGTACAAACATTTATATCCCGTCCTTCTGACAAGCGCTCAATCCAATTCCGGGTTGGATCCGGAATCAGTCATACTTTGAGTAGACCCACTGAAGTCAACCAGACTTGGGTTAGTCCTGACAAACGTCATGCCTACCAATTTCAGGGTTCTGCTTGCATCTCTCCTGAGCCAATGCTTTATAAAAGAGAAATTTGCAAAATACTAACAGCTTTCACCTAGGAGACAGCCAAACCAAGGCAGAAAAGTCTGTTTTTCCTTGTGCAGGATGCGGGGAAGATAATATTTGTGGGTGTGCGGGTATTTCCTCTCCCCACACTTAGGAGGATTAATTCCTTTGTACTCCTCACTAGTCAGACCTCACCTGGAATACTGTGTCCAGTTCTGGGCACCAAGATTTAAGGAAGATGCAGGTAAATTGGAAAGGGGCCAGCAGAGGGCAACAAAAATGCTCCAGGGTTTGGAGACACTGCCCCGTGAGGAGAGACTGGGAGAACTGGACATGTTCAGCCTTGAGAAGAGAAGGCTGAGCGGGGACATGAGACCCCTCTAGAAGGACCTCAGAGGCTGTCCCAAAGAGGAAGGCCAAGATCTCTTCTCGCTGATGCCAGAGTGTAGGACACAGAATAATCAATTCAAGGTGCAACAACCCAGATTCAGGAAGGACATCAGGAAAAGCTTCCTCTCTGTCAGAGCAAGACGACAACGGAATCAGCTGCCTGGGGAGGTGGGGGGCTCTCCCGCACGGAGACATTCAAGAAGAAACTGGACAGCTATCTGAACAGGATGGTGTAAACTGATGTCCTGCAACAGCAGAGGGTGGACTTGATGGCCTTCATGGCTCCTTCCAACTCTACTCTTCTATGAGTCCATGATTCTAATTGCCTGCCCACCCCCCACCTTAATTTCAGTGGGAAATAAATGAATTACTGCCATTCCAGGGCTGGGAATGTCCTTCAATACCCATTTCTGGGGAGGAGCAGTCGTATCTGATGGACTCACAGCTTCTCTCCTGCCGTCTCACACTGGCTGCCTCCCCACAGGTTACAAAAGCATTGATTGGCATCCCAGCCTCTTCCCCCTCCCCTGTTTGGATGTTTTATGTCGGCATCCAAAAATGCCCCCCTAGAGAAAGATCTGCTTGTCTGGGGCAGAGGAAGCGTTCACACCTCGGAGGTCAGAGGCTGAAGTGCATCTGAACCTGGCGCTGAAAATTTTCCTACAGGCTGATCCCGAAAGAAAAAAAGCCCCTTCGCTCGAATTGAACGAAGGAGTTTGCACCGAAAACTCCCCAGTTATTCTGTGGCTAGAAAAATCCAAACTCTGCAGCGGGAACTTGGCCTCTGTCCAGCACGTGTCCAGCATATTTCTCTCCAGAAGGCTCATGACCTTCCCCCGATGTAGCAAGACATGATTTCAGGCTTCAGTTGAAACAAAACTATGAAACCCAACTTGGCTCTAATGTTTGAGATATTGCTGCAGCCTCCTCGGATCTGGCACCCTCCCGATGTGCTGGACTGCAGTTCCCACTATCCCCGGCCAGCCCTTGGCCGTGCTCGGAGCTGTATCAGATGAGTGCCCGGTTGTGGGAAGTGGATGGTTACCCCTGCTGAGTCAGGAGGTCTAGAGACTGGTTGTCTGCTTGGGAATTTAAAGCTGGCAAATCTCAGGAATGCTGCAACAAGGGGGACAAAAGCCGATGTTGTGACGTTGTGTTGCAGGACGAGCTGTGCATTCCGGAGAGGAGGCTGCTCGAGGACAGTCACAACGTGGCCGTCTCGACCAGCATAGGAAAGTCTGATCGCGTCCTGCTCTTCAATGACATCCTCGTGTTGATCCAGGTAGGAAGGCTGGACCGGCCTCGGTATCCGTGGCTGGACCAGCACGACCCGAACTGGCACTGCTGGAAAAGGCCTGCTCCCTCAAGCGGCCGGCCCCCCCTTCCGTTTGCTCCCCCCATGGCGGTGGAGCCGGGGGTCCTGGGGGTCCCACCAGCACCGCGTGATCTGCAGGGGCGCGGATCCGGGAGCCAGAGTGGTGTGGCGGTTCGGACTGCTCAGCTGGGGCTCAGGAGGTCCGGCTGGGGCCCCCACTCAGCCGGGGAGCTCACTGGGGGACGTGGGCCGATGGCGCTGCTTCAGGAGCCTTCTCCAACCTGGTGCCCTCCAGATGTTCTGGCCGCAGTGTCCCTCCGCCGTGGGCAGAGGAGCCAATGGTCAGGAGAGATGGCAGTTGCAGTGGGGTTGCCCCCTTTCCTCTGCCCCCTGAGTGTGGGGCAGCTTCCTGGCTGAGGAAGCCCATGGAGTTTCCACGCCTCCCCCAAGGCTTGGTCCTGGCAGGAAGAGACACTGAGCGCTGAACTGGAGACCCAGGAGATCAGGGTTCTAGTCCCCACTAAATTGTGAAGCCACAGGCTCTCAGCCCAGCCCACCTTGCAGGGCTGTTGTTGCGAGGATAAGACAAGGAGGAGGAGGAGGAGAACTATGGAAGCTGCCTTGTGCTCCTTGGAAGGATATAAGATGCAATATAAATAGAAGAAATAAAAACAAACCTACCGCCCCCTTCAAAATGTAACTGGTCAACTTGCTTTAGCGGGTGCTTTAATGGTGCATTGGCTCCCACCCGTGCCTGCGCTTTCTTTACCTCTTCCCTTGAATTCTCACGTTTTCTAGGGAAGCAGCTACCAGAGCTTTGATCTGAAGCTTGTGTGGGTGGATGGGAGCTCCAACGAGGCGGGAAAGTAAGTCAAACCTCTGATGTTGGCAGTTCTATAATGCAACGCAAGGGCCCAAAAGATCCATCCTGGGGGGCTCGCCCCATATTGCTGGTGGAGTGCGGTGAGCATGGGGAACAGGGTCTATGGAGTTGACACTGGGCTGGAACCGGTGGCCGGGGATTTCTTAGCAATAAAGGAGAATTTGGAACTGGGCAAGTTTGAATTTGGAACTGGCCTTTAGAAGGGAGGGGGGCAGTCAGTGCTAGGGAGAACTTGCCAGAGACAAGAGGTGATTTGCCAGCCTCTTCTTACTTTGAAGTGATGCTTGGGAACATGGGAGTTTAATTTCCTTGGCCTCCCAGATTGGGAGGCACAGAAAAAGACAGATCCCATGCTCCCAAGCCATTGGTTTCTTCTGGGGAACTTGGGGTTATACTTTTCCCTCCCCTTTCTCGCTGTTCCAGCATGGACACTTTGACTGGCTGGCTGGCTGGCTGGCTGGCTGATTGGTTGGCTGGCTGATTGGTTGGCTGGCTGGCCAGGTGGCCGGCCAGTCTCCTACCTGGCTGGTTGGGAGCAGAACACCTCTGAATGTTTCACTGAAGGCCTCCTCCTGCCCCCCCCCCCCCCAGGCACACCCTCCGTGTTGGCACACCAGAAGAAGAGTTCTTCCTCTTGGCCAGAGACCCGCAGGCATGGGTAAGTGGCTGGCCGTTTGCTTTGCCTTGCCTGGAGAACGCGGCCAATGGTCGTGTGGCTGGGATTTGTTCTCCGCTTGGGAAACGAGGGCTGTGGAACCTGGCTGTGTGGGGCAGGATCTGCACCCTGCCTCCTCCCCCTCCTCTTCCCTTCTCCTTTCCTGCCCTTTGTTGCTTTTGGTAGGGATAGGCACACCACACCCTTCCTATGTTTTTAACTCCCACCATCCCCAACCATGGGCCATGCGGACTGGGGCCACTGGGCTTTGAATTCAGCTCGCAGCTGGATCCATTGCACGGATGGGGGTGGACTTCCGCACCGCCCCCTTCTCAACCGCCCCCCATCCTCTCCACCCTCCAAGCACTCGGCCAGGGGACCAAATGGGGCGAGCCAGGGCAGGGGGGACATCCCCCCAAATCGGGCAGAGGGACCTTGCGTGGGCAGAGCTGTGCCTCTGGCAGAAGGCGGGGCTGGAGGCAACTCCCAGAAGGCGCCCGGCGCCCTCCCACTTCTTTGGGGGCTCTGCTCCCAAGCCGGCTCACTGCCGGTATCAGAGCCTTGGGGAGCTGTCCCTGCAGAAGGCAGAGTCCGGAGAGGTCGGGCCAGGGGAACCAGCGCTGGCTCGGCAGATCCACCTTCTGGTAGCCACGGTGGCCTGCCGCTTTGGCTCCTTCTCCCTTCCAACCTGTCCCGGCCGCCCCCAGCTTGCCCAGCAGCGGAGGAACGAAGAGCAGCTGGTCCCGGTTTCCCATTCCTCCTCACCACCGGCTGGAGCAAAATTCGGGGAAGGGGCAGGTTGTGAAGCAGAAGAGCAGAAGCAGGTCTGGGGGCTCTTGCCAGAGGGCGCCTCCTGGCGTGGGGCCCCAGCAGGTTCCCCACCACGCCGGCGCTGGATGCCGGCCCTGGGCCAAGCTCACCCGCCCGCATCTCGGTGCCGCAGCAGCCCTTGTACCCTCTTGGCCTGGGACGCCACCACCTGGAGGCAAAGCAGCAGCATCTCTTGAGAGGCAGTGTGGCGTAGTGGTTAAGAGCGTGGGACTGGGACTCAGGCGATCCGGGTTCCAGTCCCTGCTCAGCCTTGGAGCCCACTGGGGGAATCTGGGCCAGTCACAGACTCTCAGCCCAACCTACCTCGCAGGGTTGTTGTTGTGGGGATAAGATGGAGGAGAAGGATGTAAGCTGCCTTGAGCCCTTTGTAGGAAAAAGGCAGGACACAACTCGAAAAATAAATAAATCTATGTCATCCCGTCCTTTAAACTGGCATGGAAGGACTTTGAAAGCCAGTCAGGTGCTCCCAAACCGGACCTGGGAGTCTGGCAAGTGGCCTCAGAGGTCCCCTCCAACTCCGCCATTCTCGGATTCCGGGACTCCGGTATCTCACCGCCGCTGCTCCGGTGCCTCCATATGTTCTATTGTATTTCAATGTATTTTATTGTGTTGTAAGCCGCCCCGAGGCTTCGGCAAGGGGCAGCATAGAAATCTTATAATAATAATAATAATAATAATAATAATAATAATAATAATAATAATAATAACCGAGTCCCCCTTTCTCGTGCTCAGGCCATTTGGCAGTGGAAGCTGAAGCGGGCGGTGTGCCAGGCCATGGACGGGAGGCGAGACTTCCCGCTGTGGGGCAGGGCTGGCGAGGGGAGGGAGCCGCCGCTCTGCCGCTTCTCCACGTTCACGTTCCGGAGCGAGGGACGGCTCAAGGACGCGGCCTACGAAGGAGAATGGCGCCTGGGCAAGCCGCACGGCAAGTAAGTTGGAGGGCAAGATCCCTTCCCACTCCTTTTTATTTATTTTATTTATTTTTATTGGGTTAGTTAAAACTTTTCCATACCGTCCCTTCACAGATGTCTCAGGACGGTTTACAACCGATTAATACAATAGAAATAGATATAAGATTAACGGTTGCCCAGCATCCGATGTTAAAATATAAAACCACTAAATAAAACTGGTTAACAAGTACAGTACTGGGAGAATTAAAAGGTTTTGACTTGACGCCAAAAGGAAAGACGCGTTGGCGCCAGGCGGACCTCTCTGGGAGCACGTTCCACAATCGTGGCGCCACCACAGAGAAGGCCCTCCTCCGGGTAGTCACCCTCCTGATCTCCTTCAAGGACGGCTCCCAGAGGAGGGCCTCTGACTCTGATCTCAAGGGGCAGGACGACAAGGTTCTCCTTTCGGTATCTTTTCACTCAGCTGGAAGGGAGAACATTCAGAATGACCGTATCTCCCAGTCTGGCTTTCTCCTGCAGCCACTTCTATTTAAAAGCTCCAGTTCTCGGTCTCCCAAAAGCGAGAAGTACATTCTTACCAAACCACGAGCTAAAACCAAATTCAGCCAGGCCGGCCGCTGCTGCGCTTTAGCGCATGAAGCTACATTGCAGCGGTGTCGCAGTGGCAGTCATGGGTCCCTTCACTTTGCAGGGGGACGCTGATGTGGCCGGATGGTCGGAACTATGTTGGAGACTTCGAAGAAGGCTTGGAACATGGGTAAGGAGTGACGTTTCCCATGCAAATGTGCCGTCTTTGCCCAGGGGATACTTAACTGATGTGCACATATGCTCGCTACTGTGCAAAAATGCTGCATACAATGAATCTTCATCCGGCATCAACAAAAGACTAGCATTAGGTGCATTTGGGGTCATTTTATACCCCAGTTAAAAGTGCCTCAGGCAAAAAAAAGCTTAGTATAAAGGGCCTTTTTTCTGACTGAATGTTTTCCCCAGGGGATTTCCATAACCTAAGGATAGCTTTCAGTTCTCCCAAAGTTCAGGTCATTTCAGGTTTAATCCTTCCTGATGCAAAACAAGAAAATGTGCGAAACAAGGCTTGGCCCATTGACCTTTTCGCTGCATAACCATCAATTGTCCTACTAACTTTAAAAAATCAGAGCAAAGCATTTCCTGGATTTTATTTGTTGGAGGTATTAGCTAAGGATCTTAGCTTTAAAAAGAGACCAAAATGACTTTCTTTGTTTCCTTTTTTGAGGTCTATTGTTCAGAGTGTAAAAGTGCCACCAGAATTATCCTTATGCTGATCTGAAGGTTTTGTGGACCCCATGCCTGTCCTGGTTTATAGAAACAGAGAAACAGAGCGAGTCAGAAGGGGTCTCCCGGGTCATCTAGTCTGACCCCTGGCACCAGCCGGCTCCGCTCATGACATGCCCACCAGACTTGTAGGGGATGGTTGGTGGAGCTTGCCGTGTCGGGAACGCCCCAATGGCAGCCCCAACGAAGCAAACCAGGGGCAGTCAGGAAAGGCCCCTTTGCCTTGAGCCTCAGCAGTTTTATTGAAAGACCACCCAGGCCCCCTGCAGTTACTTCTGACAGCGTGCGACCGGGCAGCGGCTCTCACTGCAACTGCAAGCTGCTAGAACATGCACAGAGCGTTTTATAGATTCCAAGTCACGTGGGCCCAGCAGCTGGGCAGTTGATCCTAAACAAGGTGAACACAGTCAGAAGAAGGAGAGGGGGCTCAAAATACAATAGCATTTGAGTGCGGGGTATTAACACAACGATCACAGGATTATTGCGAGTCTTGGCATGCAAATGAGGGTGCTTGCAATGCTGTTAACCTGGCAGCCCGAGCAGCTGTTACTGATCAGCAAAACAGCAGCCCTGGCAGTTCCTTGGGGAAGCCATCTGGTCCCACTTCTTAAAGTTACAGCAAATGCCAAACAGTGACCTGGCTTGGGATTTTTTATTATTATTATTATTTATTATTATAACATTTCTATGCCGCCCCTTGCCGAAGCCTCAGGGCGGCTTACAACACACTAAAATACATTGAAATACAATAGAACATAGAATTTTGGGGTGCTTCCTGAGAAAGGGGTGCAGGAATTTTATAACACAAAGATGCAGAAGCAACTGTTTTCTGCCAGGGTTTAGCTGAATTTTCCGGCCAGCCCCGCTGGACCTTTCAGAGGTGCCTCTCGCTCTCCCGCTTGCAGGTTTGGCATCTGCCTCGTCCCCTGTGCCTCTGAGGACCGCTACGACTGCTACAAGTGCCACTGGAGAGAAGGCAGGCGGAGCGGCTACGGGATCTGCGAGTAAGCAGCCTCCGGGCAGGGGGGCCTTGCCAGCCGCCCTGGCCGCCTCTTCAGCGGAGCAGCCGGATGGCGACGCTTTAAATGAATAATACCGACCCGTACTGTGGGAGGGCAGGCCGGACGAATCTTGAGCATCCACGCTGCGGGTCGCACGGAATGAGTTTACGTCTTCTGGCTGCAATAGTTGCTCCACCCGGCTGCAGGGAGGGGGTGGGAAGGAGGGCCATTCCATCATTTCTGCCTAAAGAAGAGCTCTGTGGGGCTCCCCCTCTCCCTGAACAATTTCCAGATGGCCATGACCTCACCTTCTACTAAGCTCTAACAATTAGTGCCCGAGTTTGCTCTTTTCCTCTGCCCTCCCCATCCCTTTTTCCTTTGTTGCCCTGACTTTTATAGATCATAAGGCTTCAGGAAGCAGCTATTCAAATTTATTGATACATACATAATCACACCTGAGAGTCTTTTGGTTTAATTGTTTTATTTATGTAGTGTTTATGTTTTGTTATGATTTTCTAATGTAAACTGTCCAGAGAGCCATGAGGCTATTGTGATGGTATACAAAAGTGTTAAAACAAACAAACAAGCAAACAAACAAACAAACAAACAAAGAGAAGGCTTTAAAAAACTTTAATAAATCAATCACCCATAATACACATGGCTGGCCTGGGCCATGGGAATTTATTTATTTTCTTTATTGTAAGCTTTTCTACCCTGTCTGCCACTAGTGTCTTGGGACGGCTTACAATCAAATGAGTAGAATAAAACAGAACACCACAGCATCCTACAACTGAAATACTAAACCCCCAGTAAAAGCAATTAAACATTAAAATGATGGAAAGATTAAAAGGTTTTCACCTGACACTGAAAAGTATATAACGTCAGCACCAGGCAAATGTTTCAGGGGAGCGTATTCCACAATTGGGGTGCCACCACAGAGAAGGCCCTTCTCTGGGTAGCCACCCTCCTAATCTCCTTCAAGGGGGGCTCCCGGAGAAGGGCCTCTGCCCCAGATCTTAAGGGGTGGGCAGGCACATATGGAAGGAGACGCTCCTTCAGGTATCCCGCTCCCAAGCCCTTTAGGGTTTTCTAGGTCATCACCAGCACCTTACATTGGGCCCGGACTTCAATTGGCAGCCAGTGCAACCAATAGAGGACCAGCATTATATGCGAATACCCTCCAGTCCCCATTAACATCCTGGCAGCTGTATTCTGAACCAACTGAAGTATCCAGACCATCTTGAAGGGCCACCCCACGGAGAGCGGGGAATGCTCACGTTCTCCTAACAGTTCAAAACCTAGCAACTGCGGCCCGAAGGGATGACGAGGATGGATTTAGGCATTGAGTGTCGTGCACGTCCCTCCCAGGTATGGCAACGAGGTGGTCTACAAAGGATATTTCAAGGAGGACCTGCGCCACGGCTTTGGCATCCTGGACAGCACTTCCTCCAAAGAGCATCCTTCTAGGTACACCGGACACTGGGAGAACGACAGGAAGAGCGGCTACGGCGTTTGGGATGACAAGGAGAGGTAAGGCAACCAAAACGTTAGGCTGAGGTGAAATCGGTGCATCCCACTTTAGCTCCCACGAGGCTTGCAGAAAGTCTTCGCCCCGCCCGTATGTAGAGAGGGGGCCACCGAGAAGCAGATCCTGAGTGCGTTCCGCCTCTCTGGCCTTCCCCTCCATCTTGCATGTGTGTGTACTGGAGAAAAGCCAGCATTTGGAAGCAGCTTCCTGGTCGAACCAACCATGGCTTTCTGGATACCATTTGATGGAGGTCATTTTTATCTTGAATCATTCACTGGTCTGCAATCCCCATGCATAAGTGCAGGTGAGGGGCCAAGCGGCTGGAGAGCAGCACTTGTGAAAGGGACCTCGGGGTGCGGGTCGATGGCAGGCGAAACATGAGCCAGCCGTGTGACGCGGTGGTCAAGAGGGTGAACGCCACCCGTGGTTGCATAGCCAGCAGTGTGGCTTCCAGGTCGGGAGAGGTATGACTGCCACCCTACACGACTCTGGTTCGACCGCAATTGGAGTATTGTGCTCAGTTCTGGGCCCCTCATTACAGGAAGGATATAGCCAGGTTGGAATCAGCACAGCAGAGGGTCACAAGGATCGTGGCCGGTTTGCAGCGGGTGGGGTATGAGGCGAGACTGAGGGAACTGGGTCTCTTCAGCCTGGAGAAGAGGAGACTCAGAGGGGATCTGTTGGCGACATACAGGTATGTGAGGGGATGTCACACGGAGGTGGGGAGAGACCTGCTCTCGCCTGCAGAGGAAGGCAGGACGCGCTCCAAGGGAGCCAAGCTCAGGGAACCCAGGTTCAGTTTGGATGCCAGGAAGCACTTCCTGATAGTCAGGACCCCGAGGGTGTGAAATGGGCTTCCACGGGAGGTGGTTGAGGCCCCACTGGTGAGGGTGTTCAAGGACAGGCTGGACGTCCACATGGTGGGCATGTCGTGAGTGGAGCCGGCTGGTGCCAGAGGTCAGACTAGATGGCCCGGGAGACCCCTTCTGACTCGCTCTGTTTCTATGTTTCAGTGCTAGAATATGGAATGGTGTGTCTATATTTTGCAAATCACATAGTTCAATAAATAATTTGGGCCGTAGGCCCTACGCAGGCTGCCCACCCCTGCCCCAGGTGTGGCAAAGGAAAGTGTGCAGAGATAAACCCTTGGTTCAGGTCTTGCATGGTTAAAACCGCTGCTCCCGAACTGAACCTTCTCAGCAGATCCTTGCCTGCTGGAGCGCTTCTTGTGCCAGGCCCGCTTCTCATGGGGCAGAGGCGTGATCTGGTGTTTGATGCCTTTCAGAGGGGAGAGGTACATCGGGATGTGGCACGAGGACCAGCGACATGGGGCAGGCATCGTGGTCATGCAGTCCGGCGTGTGCTACCAGAGGACGTTCCACATGGATAAGATGGTGGTGAGTGCGGGAAACTGGCCCCATGGGGAGATCCTCCTAAGGCCTCCCGCAGGCCTCCTGAGTGAGCAAGGAAGTTCTTTTGGGGGTCCGGACAATTCACATCGTGTGTTCTACAACACCCTTGTAAGGTAGGCCATCCTCCCCATGGCAGATGATCATAGTATTGAGATCTTGTGCCACCATCTCTGCAGATGGTGCTTTACAAAGAACAGGTAGGACAGATCCCTGCCCCAGAGGGCTTACAATCTAACAAAGATGATGTCACACAGGAAGGATAAGCGGGGGTGAGCAGGGGATGAGTCCATGAGTTGGCTTGGTTAACGTAAGGCGGCCTTCACCAATGGTGCCTTCGCAGATTTTGGACAACATTCCCCCAAATCCCTGAATATTGCCTGTGCTATCTGGGGAAGATGGGTTTGAAGTTCCAAACCTCTGGAGGACACAACTATCCTAGCAGCACCTCAGTTTTCTTTCTCTTTCTTCTGTTAAGGGGCAAATTTCTGGCCTTAACGGCTGCGGAGAAATGCTGGAAAGCCCATGGGCGGCGCTCGCCTAATCTCCCAAGCAGGAGAAGCTGCTGAACCAAATGTGTGAAGTGCAGCTATTTCACAACAGCACAATGTGCAATGATAGCAGAATAATGACCCGTGTCTATACCGTGCATCCATATTTTGGGATTCCACTTCCCCTTTAGTAAGCGCAGCCCTGCAGATCAGCCACCAGCATCTCCTTTGGAAAGGTGAGCGTCGAGATGCGAAACACGGCAAGGTTTTAATGAGCTTCTTGCTACCTTTTTCCACCCCTCCCACCCGGCCTGGTCACCTGCAGCGGTCTGGAATCCTTCTCCTAGAAGATGATTCTGTCTACGAGGGAAACTTCACGAGAGACCTGACTTTTGTCGGAAAGGTGAGTGTGGGCTTGGCTTGGGCAGTTTTTTGAGAACGTAGGAATTACCCCGCGGGATCACGCCAAAGGGCATCCATTCCCACATTCAGGCCATGCGGTGGCCAAGCCACAACCTTTGGAAAACTCCCAAGTAGGGCAAGAGTGCAGAAAACCCTCTGGATCCTGGCTCTTGCTCTGTGGACGGAGCTTGACGGGTCATATCTGGGTCCAGAATTCTGGAGCTTTTGGGAATATTTATTTATTTATTTATTTATTTGGAGTTTTTATATCGCTTAACGCATTGGGACAGCTTACATAAATAAACATAAATAAACAACATAGTGCCTAGTACAAATACAAAAAATACAAATTATACAAATTAAAAACCCCAATTCATTCTGACTGCAAGTGAAAACCTATAGATTAGATTAAGTGAGGTTAAAATATTGTTTAAATAAAAAGGTCTTAGCCTTAAGAACATCTTCTTAAGATGCAGCCATGATCTCTGGGCTGGAATCCAGGACTCACCTGAGCTTGATGGACTGTTTCAGGGAAAACTGACGGCCAACAAATTCACCCTGGAGGGCACCTTCAGCCACAGATCCAGTCACGGGATGCACGCTCAAGGGATCCTGAACACGTCCGAAGAGCAGCTCGGGGGCACCGTCACCAAACTGTACGTTGCGGGGCTGGAATTTCCAAAAATTCCTCCGGTCAGGCTCAGGAAGCAGGGAGGCGACCCTGCAGTGGTGGACGGGGTGTAAACAGAAGGAATGGGAGGGACAGCCAACTGCCCAGAGAGAATGACTATTATTGCTATCCAGAAATGAAATGATTGCTAATAAAAAACTGAATAGGGTGGGGGCAATGATATTGTTACTGCATTGTGTTTATAGCAGGCCTTTTTCAGCTTGGGAGGAAGTCAAGGTGCGTTACGCGACTCCATGTTATCCTCACAACAACAGCCCTGCGAAGTGGGCTGGGCTGAGAGCCTGTGGCTTCAGAATTTAGTGAGGACTAGAACCCTGATCTCCTGGGTCTCCAGTTCAGCGCTCAGTGTCTCTTCCTGCCAGGACCAAGCCTTGGGGGAGGCGTGGAAACTCCATGGGCTTCCTCAGCCAGGAAACTGCCCCACACTCAGGGGGCAGAGGAAAGGGGGCAAACCCCCTGCAATTGCCATCTCTCCTGACCGTTGGCTCCTCTGCCCACGGCGGAGGGACACTGCGGCCAAAACATCTGGAGGGCACCAGGTTGGAGAAGGCTCCTGCAGCAGCGCCTTCGGCCATGTTTCCGCTTAGCTCCCCAGTCTGCCATTTGGATCAGAGAACCCATGTGGCGGAACAGGCGGAGCGTTGAACTCAGATTGGGACACACGGGTTCAAGGACCCGTTCAGCAAGGAAGCGCACAACTGGGCCATGCCTTCTCTTTCTGTCTTGGCCTACCTCGCAGGGTCGGTTAAGCTACCTCGCGGTAGGTGGAGGCAGAAAGAGAAGGCGAATGAGCCCGGGGCCCTGTGCGGAGGCCCCGTGCGGAGCCTGCAAGTGGGAAAAAGATGTCTTGGGGTGCGGGGCCCATTCCGGGAGGGTGTTGCTGGATCCGGCTGGCCGTGTTCGCACGTGCGGGGTACCCCTGGCTTCTGCAGCCGGCTTGTGCACGCTGCCCTTCCTGGCCCGGCCTAAAGAGCCACTTGCCTCCTTGTCCAGACAGCTCGGCCAGGTGGCGTTCCCAGTGGAGCAGAGGTGGGAAGGGCTCCTCAGCCCGTTCCTGGAGTTCATCCGTTCGGGGGCGCAAGGAGAAATGGAGGAGTTTTTCATGGGGTTCCACGTGCAGACAAGCAGAGAGCTGCGGAAGTCGCAGGAATATCTCTTCTGCCACAGGTGAGGAGGAACAGATCAGTTGACCGGGTGACGAGGTCCAGTGGATTCACTGGGATGTGTCTCTCTGAAGGGATAGAACAGACAGTGGCTCTGGGGCCACGTTATTTTCTTACAGTTTCTTTATCCCACCCATCAGCCAAAGGAAAGCTCCCTCTGTGGCTTGCAGAGGTAAGAAACAGGACAGATTTTGCCCAGGAGTTCATAAAGACACGACACAAGAGGAAAGGGGATGAGGAGGGTAGAGGGGGAAAAGCCCCCCAAATCTGAGAATGTGAGAATTGAGATGGTGGAGGGGGAGAAGTTGTCTCAGAGTCTCTGTCCCAGGTGTTCAGGCAGACCTGGGAACAGGCAGGGTTTGGAAGGGAAGGGAAACGACAAGGGCGAGGAGCGAGACAAGGCCAGGTTAGGAGGGCTATCCAACTGGAGGGCCATCCACCTCAGAGGCTGGCCCTTCTCCAGAGGGGCACACCCAGAGCGCTGTGGCCAGGGCTACTGAAAAGGAGGATCCTTGGAAGTAGCTTCCAGTTCGGGTTCAACAAACCACTCTGTGCATGCTCAGAGACACTTCCGTGGTTGGCTAATACATTTTTGGATGTACATTCAAAAGAAAAGGCTTTTGCCAAAGGGCTGCATGTGGGGTGAAAGAGTGGAAGAGGGAACCCAGCACCACATTGGCTTTGTCACACGTGTGCGGGAAAAGCACGGGAAACTGCTGGTCTGTGTGCTTAAACCCGCCAGAAGCGAAACCGCCCTCAGCGAAAGTGGCTGCTGTAGATGGCAGATGTGTGTCATTTTTCAAGGACATCAAGGCAAAAAACCTGGCTGGGTTCAGACAACTCCCAAGGGTTGTGCATGGGTTGAGTGCGGCTTGTCCCTGAACTGCGGGTTGTTGCTGACCTGTGAGTTCATTGTCTGCACCCAACAAGCCATGGCCACAAACAACCCTCAGTGGACAACCCAAGCACAAAGGGTGGCTGGGTTCCCCTCCAAGGGCTCCTTGTGGGTAACAGACCACGGGTTGTTTGTGTGGCTGGGTTCACACAACGCAATAGCCCTGCTTCAACCACAACTCATGCTCAGCTCGGTGGGAATGAGCTGACACCGTGACAATCCTGTTTTGTTCACATCTGCCCCCCAGAGGACCAGAGGAGGCTGCGCGGAAGGTCGACATCCTTGAAGAGCTCAGGGAACCCCGGGAGCAGGAAGTCCTGCGATGCTACTTGGAGCAGGTGTGTTGTCAGAGGGGACCGCGGCGGAAGTAGCTAGCAGCCGGCTTCCAGGGGCGGGAAAGTGGATCCGCATTCATTTATTTAAAGCTTTTCTGTACCGTCCTATTACCAAGGGTCTCCGGACGGTCTTCCAATAAAGCAAAGGAAAGCGCAGCATCATCTTTTATAAAACCCCCCATCAAAGCAACAACCTAAACCTTAAACCGTTGGGAAAATAAAAAGGGTTTGGCTTGGTGCTGGAAAGAATAAAGTGTCGGCACCGGGCAAACCTCTCTGGGGAGTGTATTCCATAACTGGGGGGCCACCGCAGAGAAGGCCCTGCTCCGGGTAGCCTCTGTGTTTGCTCGTTTAGTTGCAAAGTTGTGCCCGACCCATTGCAACCCCACGGACAACACTCCTCCAGGCCCCACTGTCCTCCACCCCCCCTGGAGTCCACTCAAGCTCACCCCCACTGCTCCAGTGACCCCATCCAGCCCCCTCATCCTCTGCCGTCCCCGTCTTCCTTTGCCATTAATCATTCCCAGCATCAGGCTCTTCTCCAGGGAGTCCTTCCTTCGCATTAGGTGGCCAAAGTATCTGAGCTTCATCCTCAGGATCTGGCCTTCCAAAGAGCAGTCGGGGTTGATCTCCTCTAGGACTGACCCATTTGATCGCCTTGGGGTCCAGGGGACTCTCAGGAGTCTTCTCCAGCACCACAATTCAGAGGCCTCAATTCTTCGGGGATCAGTTTTCCTTATGATCCATGGTCAGGGATGGTGGAATCTGTAGTTCAGAGCACTGGGAAGACTCCCGGTTACTGAGCCCTAAATGCATATTTTTATAGGAATTCTCATACCATTAAAAAAAATCAGACATGAAAGTGAGCCTTTGTCAGAATGGACTGATATGAATTTGAAAAGGGCTAGAAATAGCTAGAATGGCTGTTCCCTACCTATAAAAAAATCAAAATTTGGGGGAGTTGCAATAAGAAAAGATCGGGTCTGGCTTATTCTCCCACCTTGTAGTTACAGCTTTGAGTCTACCTAGTTCTGAAGAAACTTTGCTTTCTGGTTTTGCAGGCACTGAAGTCTTCCTTGCACCCTTTGGGGAAATTACTGACAGCGCTGACATTGGCATTCCAGGCCACCTACTCTGGGATTGGCGCAAACAAGCATCTTCTGTCCATGGCTCAGGAGGAGGTCAAGCATTATGCAGAGAAAATATGGGAATTCTACCAGTACGTACTGTCCATGCTGGCATGCTCTTGCTTTCACGGGGGGTGGGGGGATCTTCTTGCATCTGAGCTCTTGCACAGCTCACCTTATGACAAGCCACTAGTCGAGTCTCTCAATTCCACTTAGGACGAGATCTTCTTGCATCTGAGCTCTTGCACAGCTCACCTTATGACAAGCCACTAGTCGAGTCTCTCGATTTCACTTAGGACGAGATCTTCTTGCATCTGAGCTCTTGCACAGCTCACCCTATGACAAGTCACCAGTGAATTCTCTGAAGGACAGTTTAGGGATGGTGAACGAAACAAGGGCTCCTTATGCAGAAAAGTACTGGTGGTGCACAGGAACACTAAAAATACAATAAAAATTAATAAAATACAATCTAATAAAATAAAATAAAATAAAATAAAATAAAATAAAATAAAAGTCCTGCAGCTCTTGCACTCTTCAGCAAGCATTACTATTTAGGGAAATACTAGAAGTTGTCAGATTTTTCTCTGCCTTAACAGGTAGAGGATTCCACCCCAGATCTTCTCTTTCGGAGGGACTCTTCCAGGGGATCCTTGCGGGTGGGTGAAAGGGGACCCTTGCAAGAAGCCGCCACGGGGCTGAAGTTGCCTGTCCTGGAGAACAATTCCAGCAGAGCTTTATTTGCTCATTTTTCGATTAACCCTCTGGGGTATTTTTGGGGAGGATCCGTAAGGATTATCTTTAATCAGGATGCCCGTCAGCCTACCAAGCACATTTGTGACAGGACAGCTTTGCCACTACGGATGTTGCCAAGTTAAAACGCACAGTCTGCCTTTCCGGGACACGAAAACCGTCTCATTCTTCTCCTCCTTCCCAAATTACAGCTCACGGATTTCTTTGGAGGGCAGCAAAGCAGTGAAATTAGTTTCAATAAACTGGCTGAGAGCACAGGGGCCAGATGCATTTTCCAGGGCTGGGCCGTCCGTCTTCTCCACAATTCTTCCGATGAAGGTGCATGCATCCTCCTGGAACCAGTCCTTCCATATCTGAAGTAACTTTCTTGGGAACAGCTCCTGCAAGTCCCCAATTTTAGCTGAATCCTGCAGGTCCTTGCTTAAAACAGGAGCAGCTAACTGGGAATTCCTTTGTTAGTAATTTAGGCCTTGCATTTCTCCTTGCTGGAGCCTATTTTGAGCATCCAACAAGGGCGTTCGTCTTACCTCTGTTTATCTGCTCTTCGTACCTTTCAGGTGTTTGCTGAACCTTGCCTGGGAGGTCAAAGGACAAACACCCCCTGAAGCCCTGAAAGAAAGGTAGGGATGTGGATTTATGTCACGCGTTGGGTTTATGTCACGCGTTGGATTTATGCCACGCATACACAGCCTTTCTGGCTCTCCCACCAGCAAGAAATGCTCCGCACTGGCACTTCACGCATGAGCACGCTGCCGTTGCTTTCCCGCTTTTCCGCTGTTTTCCTTTCCAGAGCCCCCAAAAGTCCGTGGCGCTTTCCATGGGGTCAAATCCATCCCTCTTGGGGCCAGATCCAAGCCTTCCAGGGACCCTCGGGTGGCCAAGCCCTCTTTCCACCACCCACTCGTCCTTTGGAGTTTTCCTAGGGTTTCTGCAGTGCTTTGCCATTTTGGGCTGGAACGGGGACCCCTCCAAAAGGCTTTCCCAAAGCTGGGCTTCACTCTCGGGCTGAGAAGGCCCTCACCCTGAGTGTAGCGCCCTCACTCGCAAGATGTGATGCCCCTTTTCCAGTGGCCATCAGCAAATTTCAGGAGGGAAGCGATGCAGCTCTGTTCTTCGTGTGTGAGCCCAGAAGTGGGGCAAGCCGGGTCAAAGCCCCGTCTGTCCCCGAAGCGCAGCGGGTGATAGTTGGACTGGCGGCACGTCCTTCCCCTGTGCCTGCCCATCTCTCTGTCTGCCCCACTTTTTCTCCGCCTGCCTCTCTGCCCCTCACTCTCGACCTTTCGCAGTGTCTCATGGCCTGTCCTACCTCACAGGGTTGTTGTAGCAACACTCAAGCTCTGCCTCCTCCTCCTCCTCCTCGTCATTCTTAGATTGCACTTATACCCCACCTTTTTTCCACTTGGAGAGCAGCCAAAGAGGCTTCCGTGGCTCCATTTTATCCCCCCAACAACAACCCTGTGAGGTTGCTTGGGCAGAGAGTGGCTGGCCGGCCCGAAGTCACCCGGTGATCTTCGTGCATCTTCCTGCACCAAACCCCACACCCCAGTGACTCTCAGCAACGTAAATCCTTTAATTCAGTAATTTCGCACAGTCAGGTCATACCTGAAATGAAAAACGAAACAGACTGCATCTGTGAAGTTTTCCAGCTGCTGCTGCTGCCGCTGTGCTTTGATGGGCTGATGGTGCTTTTCTTTCCCTCCAGCGACCTCAGTGGACCCGGCCTCATCCTGCCGCTCATTCTTCCGTATTTTTATCCGGAGCTCCTGATGCTGTACATGCTGCACCATGAGAAAGAGGATGAGCTCTACTGCCAGGGGATTGTCAACCTGAGTCTTTTTCCGGACGTTAAGCTGCTGGAGTTCCTGGACGTCCAGAGGTGAGCTGAGCGGCCGTGGCCAGGAAAACCCGTGGCCGGCATCTAGGGAGCCCACACCAAGGAGGCCTCGTCTGCCTCCCACCACTGGATTTTGTGGCACCCGCAGAAAGAAGACCCCCAATGCCTCCCACAGTGGCATTTTTTCCATTCTCAATTTTATTTGATTTTCTTTGTGAAGAGACATGCAAATTTTGGTAGGTCTTCCCCAAAAGCAAGGCGAAGGGAATCTTCTCCCAGCTTCAGCACCCCAATGCAATAGGCACGCCTGTCTCTGGAGCAGAAAGGACCAGAACCTACCTGTCCACCTGCCAGGTAGCTATGAAAGGTGACGAGCCCCTGGTGCCCCTGCATTTAACACCACAAACATGGCTGAGTGCAGAGGAAGTCAAAGCTAGAATTTTAATTGCTGGGTGTGCAAAACCCTCTGGATGGGCATTTTATTTTTTAAAACCACTCTGCCTGGTTTATTAAGAAATTTGTGGATTTTGGTGAGTTCTTATGAAGGAATGAGCCAAGCAAAATTCTCGGCCATCCCAGGATTTGGTGTGGATTGTCCATGAGGCCATTCGTCCATGGCTAACAGTCACTGGCAAGACCCCTTCTCCCTAGGAAGGGCTGTTTGCTAGGACTTTGGGGAATCAGGCAGCAGAAAAGAATAAAAGGGGTGAGCTGGAGGAAAGCTGTGTTCTTCCCATCCAATCTCCAACTTTTGAGAAATTCAGTACCTTCTGCGTGAGTTTTAAATATATTCACGTACAGACAGCCTTGAGGATAAGGAATTGTGGAGAGGGAACCTGAAAATCCATACCTTTCCCAGGCGATTTTGCTTCCAGGGTTCAAAAATAATCTTTTATATTTGAAAGGTTCACCTTCTGTTTGGCAATAAATGGCTTTTTCGACCCGTGATCTCTGCAGGACAGAGATCTTGTTCTCCTTTCATCCTTTTGAAAATACATGACCCATTTATTCCCCACCCACATTTTCATTTCAGACACTTCTGGCCCCTGAAAGATGTCACATTATCAAATAGCCGGGTAAGCTGTTTCCCTGTTCTGTCATGCTCTTGGTTTATTCCTTTATGCAATAGAATAGGAAGGTACCATTCCAGGTGGTGCAGAGGGTGCTGGTTTTGTAACTCTTCCCTGTGAAAAAGTCCCTGCATGAAGACAACTAGCACCTCAAGGAGAGGACTTGGATTGCATTTCTATTCTGACGCCTTCCAGACTGGACCTCAACTGTGGTTCCAGCGAGATGGAACAAAGACAAAACTTCTAGGGCTGAAGGGACAGGATCGGGGCCAGGACAATTTTGAATGAAAATAGGGTGGCAGGGAGAATTATCGATTTGAATTTAAAAAAAAAAACCCTACCCTTTCCCAGGTTTTGTGTTCTCTTCCCACCCAGCTGGTACAGTCATATCAATGTAAGAAGTGCTCTGCTGGGTGAGACCAAAAGTCCATCTGGTCCTCTGTTCTCTTCTCACAGGGCCAACCAGCTGCCCAGGTAATGCCTGTGAGCAGGATAGGAGCAACCCCTTACCCATGCTCCCCAGCTACTGCAGTACAGGGCATGCTGTCCCTGGTCTTGGAGGTCGCACAGGGCCAGCAGGACCAGTATCTCCAGTCTCTTTTAACTACCTCCTATGGCTTAGCTATGCGATACGTGAGAACTGCCTGCTGGGGCAGGCAGAAACCCCGTGGAAAGATTTGGTTCCTTGCTTCTTCTCCAAGGCTGGGATGTCCCATCATCCTGCCTCAGCCTTCCCCAGCCAGGCACCCTCTGATGTGAGTTGGACTCCGGCCATCCCCAGCTGTGGCCCAACACATCTGCCGGGCACCAGGTTGGAGAAGGCTACCACACCTCATTTAACACAGAGAAGAGAGGGTCTCATTCAGAAAAGCTGCCCAGGCCCTTATATACATACCTGTCAGGAGCCCAAGATCAACTGCAGATCCCCTCCTTTGGGTGCCCCACCAAAATTATTATTATTATTATTATTATTATTATTATTATTATTATTATTATTATAACATTTCTATAAATGAGAGTCTTTTCAGTGGTGGCTCCACAGTTGAGGAACCATCTTTGCTGGGTACTCTTACTGCCACTGGGGAAGCCCTTTAGATTTTTAGTCCTTTCGATCTTTACCTGCTGCCGCGGGCCTTTGCTCTCTTATAGTTTCCTTTCCCGTTTTAAACTTGTAAAGATTTTTATATGTTATGTCATTTGGTTTGGGGATTTAACTTCTGCGAAAGTTCTGCCAAATAGGCTTCGGCTGCTGGGCAGTGTGGAAATAGAGTTGGTAGCGGAGTTGTTTTCTGCATGGTGTGTTCTCTGTAGCCAAAACACTTTGCTTTTCGCACACCCCAGATTCATCCTGGTTCCAGTAAAACCTCCCCCTCCATGCACACAGCTCCAGATGCTAAGATCTGCTGCTTTTTCTTGTGTTTAGAGACACTGCCTTAGCAAGAACCGCTGCTTCCATTCTGCAACCGAATGTCTACAGAAGTTGATGTAAGTTACTTTCTGTCGGTAAAGAAGGTAGGTCTCCTTCCCCTCCCCTGGAAGGATAGACCTAGCACCAGAAACAGAAAATGTATTTTATCTTGCTTTTAATCTCTGGAGCTGAAGGCAGTGTGGCTCACGCTCACAACAACCCTGTGAGGTAGGCTTGGTCCCAAGGCAGACTTGTTGATTTTGCGGCTCCCTGGAGAACGGAGCTTAGCTCCTTTGCAAGGGCCAGATGCTTTCTAGCCACAGCACCTCATTTAGAAAGCAGCCCCTTTGCAATTCCGTTGTCATTTGCTCTCAAAACCATGCCACCTGCCCCCACTCAAACTGCAGCTAGGTTCTCCAAAATCACATTTTGGGGAAGCTGAATGGGTGTTTTTGGTGGCGGGTGGGGTCATTCCTGGGAAGAGAAGCGCTCATCCTCCCCCTCCCAAATCCTGTGACCTCTCCCCACCCTTTGAAAACCTCGTTGTACTCCCACTGGCCTTCAGAAACTGTAAAATCCTCATTGCTTTATTGGGAGCACTTTTGGAGGCAAGGAATGTGCGTCTTTTGTTGGAAAATGACTCTGTGTGCGTGAGAGAGAGAGGCAGGGAGAGAGAGAGGCAGAGAGCGAGAGCTGGGAAGATGGTCTGCATGAGACTTTTAACCCACTATTTTACTGAGGCTTCTGTTTGCAGAACCTCTGAGCAATTAAGAGCAGCTCCCTTATATGCAGCGTTCTTTTGGAAATTAATGGACTAAGGCTAAGGCTAAGAAAATAAGAATAAGTCTGTCTGCCTTTCTAGATGTTCCACCCCAGAGCCACAAGGTGGTGCTATAGCGCAGCCGGTTTCCACGAATGCTGGCTGGTGTCCTTCCAGTCCATTTTGCCATTTCCAAATCATCCCTGGACCCACAAGCCCATCACAGGGGCTAGCGACTTGCCTCTTTGCAAGTCGCCACATGCATGGAACTCATCGGAGAACCACCTCTCTCTGCCTGCTTCCTCGCTCACCACCCACTCGCTTTTGCAGAACGACCGTCGACCCGCGGGAAAAACTGGACATTCTCCAGCAGACGTTCGAGGAGGTTGAGCGGACGATCCATCGGGTGCTGGGGAAGGAGCACAGCCTGTCCATGGATGAGCTCCTGCCGTTGCTGGTGTACGTCGTGATACGGGCAAGGTAGGGAGCAGCTCCCCTTCTCCGCGTTTCGGAGATGCGTGTAGGAAGGCGATCCATGGTGGAAACTGAAGGCCCACTGGGGATGAGCCTGCGGGTTGGAGGCGCATCTTGGGAACAGCCGCGTCGTCCTCTTACGTCCTTCAAGATCTCCAGAACTTCTTCTGGGACCATCACTGGGGGACGTACTCCATGGGTGGCAGGGTGCTGAACCGCTCAGCCCGAGGGGCAAATTTCCTTCCAGAGAAGCCCCTGGGGGCTGCATTCTTTGGATGCGCAGGGCTGAAGAAAAAGAGGTACGGCCAGAGGATTAAAAACCCTCACATATTATAGCTTGAAGACTCTTGGTGCATACACTTAGCTTTAGGAGAGGCATTTGAACCTTTTAAAATGCAGGAAATGGCACAAGAACTGGGGAACCTCCAATGGCTCATGGTTGGAGAAAGGAGATGCGGCCAGGAGGAGGAGGTCAAGATGTGGGGAGCGGTGGAAAGTTGGTTTTTGCTTGTGCACCTCAAGTTCTGACCACTTCCTCCACACACTTGCAAGACAGAAGGGCCTTCTCTGTGTTGGTGCCCTGGCTTTGGGAAGCCCTCCCAAAGAAGATGGAGAGCCAGTGTGGCGTAGTGGTTAAGAGCACGGGACTGGGACTCAGGCGATCCGGGTTCGAGTCCCCGCTCGGCCATGGAGCCAACTGGGTGACTCTGGGCCAGTCACAGACTCTCAGCCCAACCTACCTCACAGGGTTGTTGTTGTGGGGATAAGGAGGAGGAGGAGAATGATGTAAGCTGCCTTGAGCCCTTTGTAGGAAAAAGGCAGGATATAAATCGAAATCGAATAAATCGAAAAGATGGCAATCTGCACAAACACTGGCTTGTTTCCAGTGCCAAATACAGTTGTTTTCGCAATTTTAGCACATTCTTTTTAAAAATTTCATTTGCAAGTTACGTTTATGTTATCACTGTCCTTCAGCTTACCTTGTTGCTTTAAGAGCTGCTGTTGGAATTTGACCTGGATACGCATTTCTCCCTAGCATACAGCATCTGGGAGCAGAAATCCACCTCATCAGAGACCTGATGGACCCAGCAAATAAAGGCGGCTTGCATGATTTCCTGCTGACTACGCTGGAGGTGAGCAGGGCCAACGGGGGAGTGTTTTGGAGCTGGGAGGGTGGACAAGAGCCTTCTTGGCTCAGACAGAGGGCACCTCCTCTAGGTGCCTCCTCCAAGGGAAGCTCAGAAGGCAGCAACACCGGGCAGGGCCTTCCCAGCGGTGGCCCCCAGTTAGGGAATAATTTTCCAATAAGGCCAGTCTGGTGCCACCATGGTTACCGTTTCAGTGCCAGATTAAGGCCTTCTTCCTTTCTTCACAAGCTTTGGTCAGCATATGATGGTTCTAATCAGGCCTTGAATTATTCTTGGGTCATGTCTAGAATGGTATTTAGATCTGTCTCTGTGGTACATTTCTGTGTATGTCCACGGCTTTTATAATGAACTTGTTTTATTCTACTCATTATTTCTAAGCCGTCCCGAGACGCTTGTAGTGGACAGGTTAGGAAAGCTTTTCATAAGTAAATAAATATAAAGTTTTACTGTTCCAATGTTTGCAAGCTGTCCAGAGAGCTTTGGCAGTTGCACGGTATGGAAATTAAATGGAGCAAGCGTCCTCTTTCAGCCAGAGGAATTTGCAAGCGAGGTTTGCCTGTGGAACCCCCAGTGCTGAAGACACCGCCTTCGGATGACCTGCTTGCTCCCAAAACCAAACTCAGTAAATGGTCTCCACCAGGGGTGCTCATCCTCAAACCTCTGGCTGCACTCCTTCTTCAGGGGCACTTGCTGGTTTTCCCGTTTTTGTGCTGTTCCCCCCATCTAAAAAGGCTGAAATGTTTCTCCTATGGTTTAGATTGGGGTTCGGATGAACCCCTTTGGAATCCACCCCTCCAGAACCTGTGGACGTCCTCTCTGGCTTGTACAAAGCGGGCCGAGCCAAGAGGAAGTCCGTGGATGCTCACGGCGCTTGGAAGCGCAAGCAGCAACCTTCACCAGCCACCATTCCTGGTGGGCCAACTTCTTTCCCGCTTGCTCCTTCTGATCACCCCATGAACCCTGCAAAGTGGACCAGAGCCCAGGAACCCAAAACAAGGGAAGCTGGTGGATTCTCCCTGCACGTCCCTAGTTTAGATTTTGAGTTTCATCATGCTATGGCGTTCGATTAAGTCTTGCTTTATGAGCCAGCCAGGCAGCTTGAGTGATTGGTTGGGGCAGGCATGGAAGAACAACACAATGGCAGCCAGGAAGAGAGCCAAGCCAAAGGATGCTCAGAGGTGTGTAGTCTGGGCCCACCTGCTTCGGCCCTCTGCCTCGCCCACCGAGGAGCACAGCTTCTCTAAAGTGGACGTCTGTCTTGGGCTAAGGGAGCTTGGACACCCGTGGCTTGTGCGGCCCACAGTGTCTCCCAGAGCATTGGTCTTTCCCCGCCTGCCCAGAGACGCCAGGGGCTGAGGTTGGGGTCCTCTCCCACTGAAGCTGAGCCCGTCCATGCACCTAGTTTATGAAGGCTCGGGTTCATGCTTGTTTGGTTTCCTGATCCGTAACTCTGGAGACTGGAGCATCCAGGTGTTGCCAAACCTTTCCCTCGCATCCAGTCCAGTAACCTCGGGAGGGCCATACAGTCCTCATCCGGGGTCTAAATTGCAGAGGACATAAAGGCGGTCTGGGCGCATGGAAAGCTCTCATGCTTTGGGCCTGAGAGGTGGCACTTCCCGACCGGTGTGGCTTCCACTCACTCCGTTCATGAGCTGGTATCCACACTGGCATCTCCACAGGGCTCCTCTGGCTGGCCTTCCAGGCCTTTCCGGGTGAGCCCATGGAAGCTGGTGGCTGGCCTGGATTTACAGTCCAGGAACAGTGAATGAATCGCTTTTCCCAATCTACGCAGCAAGCAAGTCGGTGGCTGGGCGTTACCCCTGACTCTCTCTCCCCTTCCACTTCCTCAGTCCTGCTACGAGTTTATCCAGAAAGAAACCAGACTGCACCCAAGCTGGCAAATGTTACACGACTCCTGAAAGCAGCACAGCAGAAGGCACCGACTTTGCACTGTTCAAGCAACCGTTGCACTGAGGCGTCTGTTACCGCCGCGGAGAAGGGAGGGACTCGGCATGGTCGCCGTCGCAGGGTGTTTCTGGTGTGGCTGTTTGCCTTTCCTATGGGAACCATGTTTGGTTTGCTAGCCCACAATATCCTAGAAACAGAAACAGAGCGAGTTGGAAGGGGTCTCCTGGGTCATCTAGTCTGACCCCCGGCTCCAGCCGGCTCCGCTCACGGCAGGCCCACCTTGAAACTCCAGAGCCTCAGAAAGTGGCGGAACGCGTATGTGGATGCCAGGAGGTTGATCTGGCCCTGTATTCCACAGCCCATTTTCTGTGTCTCAGCCTTATGGGAAGAGCTGGGAACAGAGGATTTAACCCTTTTTGGTGACTGGAAGCTAATCTTGGTCCTTCGGGAGCAGAGGTTTTTGTAAATGCCACTGAAACTGGGCATTTGCCACCTTTAGCCATCTTTCGGTCAACATAAGTTGGAACTAATAATTTTATCCTCTTAGGGGCACAATCCTTTGGCCTCCTGACGTTGGCTAGGAAACCATAGTTTTGAAGTCCTTAAATCAGTCTATTTCTCTCTCCCCACTATTATTTTTCTTGATGTTTGGAGCTTTGTGGAGTGGCTAACACCATACTTTTAGAATGAGCTGCTACTGGAATATTTTGATTTGCATCTATATTTTGGCAAACCTATGTCCAAAGGGAGGCTGAAAACCAAGCAGTTTGGCCTGCTGTTAATCTGAACTCATGGTGAACTGTCCTCCTTTCACTCCCACCCCACATGAAACCCCAATCTAGCCAGCACTTATCCATCCTCCAACATCAAATTTCCATGGGAAGGTGGTCCTTCAGCTGGCAGTCTCTCCATCGCTCACAATCCCAAGGAACGCACACCACAATAGAAGAGGGAAATGATTGCTTTAATCCGGAGTTTAAAAGGAGTTTCTAACGTAACATACAATCTACTAAACAAGGACTCAAGGAAAAAATTCCTTTCCATGGGCTGAGTATTTAAAGCTGCTTATACCCCATTCTTGCCTCGATGACCCCTCCACTCATTTCAAGGGCAGGCCCTTTGTGGATTCTTTCTGACAGATCGGCATCCAAGCCTTCGCTGAAAATGCAGCCCAAAATGTAGCATTGGAGAAAGAACCTGCTGCAGTTGTATGGGGAATTGACATTTTTATTTTCAACTTGCCCCAACCTTGCTTTTTAAGATCTCCATCTCCGAAAAGAAGATGCAGGATTGTAAGTATATGCTTGCAGGCAATGGAACTCTTCATATTCTGGGATGGAACTACAGGATTTGGAGCTGGGACACTGAATAACCCTGTGTCCTCAACGGACCCCAAATTCTACATCAAAGCAGGGACTGGCTAAGTCCTGTCTGAGCTAAGACTGTCAGCTACCTTTTCAAGTGTTGGCTCCTCGGAGTCTTGATTGCATAAAACAGGGGTTGCTTTAGAAACAATTGAAACGAACACTATTTTTTTCTGAATGACATTGTCAATGTCCGCATTTTTTTAGAATTAACAAAACAATTGGTATTTATGGGCTTTTTAAATAAGCAGAGGCTGCCTTATTTATGGTACAAATACACTGGGTAAAGTATTTAATATGTCGAGATTGTTTAAAATGATTTTGTATTAAAGTATATCTTGTTGCAGTGTTCTGAAGATGGGCGATTTCGTATGCCATAAATAAATGAACCTGCCTTAACTGAGTTAGACCATTTTTCAGTTAGACCATGAGTGAGGAATTGTGTGCATTCTAAGCAGGGCTGGATGATGTGTTCAGTCCCTACATTCCTATTGGAAATGTCTTAATCCAAACACCTCGGAATAAGGCAGGGATTATTGTTTAGGCAACAGAATGCTTTGTGCTTTCCCCAGCATTGTGAGCCAGTTCTCGCACATGCTTTTTCAAGTGCTGTGTGTTGATATGTTTATTTTATTTATTTAGACAATTTCTATGCCGCCCCATTCACCGAAGCCTCGAATGCGTGTGTTTCAACACACAGCACTTGAACACACGGCACTCAAAAAAGCATGTGCAGCTTGTGGCATTCCCTTCCACAAGATGGAGCGACGACTGCACAGGTGGACAACTTTGTGAGAGGGCGGGAGCACTTTATGGCGCATGCTATCCAGGGCCGCTAGCCCAGCTGGTCCTGCGCTCCCTCCAGGACCGCAGGGAATTTGGGCAGGGTGGCTCCGCTGTGCGCCGACCGCACCTGTGGGTTTGCCGTCTGCTGGCCACTGTGGGCACGGGATACTGGACAACACGGACCCTCAGTCTAACCCAGCTTACAGCCTAAGGCCCGTCTTAGGCTGCAAGCCTCGCCTTGCAACTGGAAGGTCACTGGGGAAAAAAGGGAGGAAAAAAGAGACAGGCAGAAACCAGGGACACTTAAATAACTTTAATGTGCAGTTTCAGAAAGGTTTCAGGGCAACTTGGCAGAACAGTCGAAGACCAAGTAAACGTCGGCTCAGTGCTTAAATATTCCCTAACAAGGGTTCAAGAGGAAGTCTAACAGGCTATAGCAAAAGGGAACTAACCTTATTCAGCCAGTCCCCATTTAGAAGAAAGCCCCTGCGATTAAAGTGCTGCTACAAACAGCAGCGTGGGGAAGTACTTCTTGAACAAACTGTTTCCAGCCCTGACTCACACATGGTGCTATAAGGAATTGTGCTCAGTAACAGGAGCGCCAGTGCTGCGAAACCAGTGCGCCTGACGGGTGTGTGCCCGCTTTGGAAACTCTGCTGCTCCCAGAAACAGGCGAGCTGGCCCCCGCTCTGCCCCTGGCCTGTCTGAAGGGGATCAACGCGAAGCACGTGGTGCCAGCCGAGGAGGCAGCTTTGGTCACAGGCAAACGAGATTCCTCGAAGGAGACGCACGTGGCAGTTTTGGCTTGTTCGGTGTGGTCTGTTGTTTCCTGAGCTTCTGCCTCAGAACCACCAGACCATCCCGAGCACTTCCAGTCTCGTGCGACTTCCCTGGCTCCCTCCCCACCTGCAATAGCTTAAGGGGCCCCGGTTCCAGCCACCATGTTTAACTGGCATACACCGCATAGGCACAGAAACAATTCAGAAAATCTGGGAGGAGAACAGGAGTGGGGGGGGGGAACAGAACTAAAACAGGACCATGGCTGGGAAACAGCACTGTTCCAGCCTGACTGGGGGCCTTCATGTAAGAATGCGGGAGGGGGACTGCGTTTCCCTTGAACTCTGCAGAGATTAACTGTGCTACAAAGATTGAGGCACTGAAAAACATGTTACCATTTCAGGGTGTAAAAATAATCCAGCGACCGCACTACTTTTCTGCAACCGTCCTACTTTAGACCACCTTTGTTCTGGCAATAACCGAGAAAGTGCTACTTTCAGTTACGGGAAAGAATAGTCCCAAGTAGTGCTTGCAGTCTGTGGGTGACGCCACGAGCCGCCACAGGGGGAACCTGTATTTCAGCTGCCATGCTTGGGCTGTTGAGGCCCGGTGAGCACCTGTTGCTCAGAGTCCCTGAAGGTGTAGTGCCAGGCCTGAGGTGAGTACACCTGGCCTCTCCCCTGACTCACTGCATGGAGGAGTTAAGCGAACCGGTGGCTATGAAAAGGTGCACATACTGATCAATACGATACACCCCCTTTTCTTCTGCCCCCTAACTGGAATGCACGTCAGATGCATTCGGATGAACGACGACAACCCCCACAATTCCCAAATGAACAGCACAAGACTATGCATATTTACTCAGCAGTAAGTTCCACTGCGGTCAATGAGGCTTACTCCTAGGCAAGTGTATAGGCTGCAGCCAAAAGGACTTCGCTTGGAATGGTTGATGCGGACAGCCGCATTCCTCACGTGGCTAGATCTCAGTGAGCAAATCGATTGCTACCCCTGAATCTTACTGGGGGGGATCTTTTCCTTTTCCAGCTACATCCCGTGTTCGACACACCCTAACCTCACCTCCCCATTCACTACTCACATTCACGGTGCTGAAGACTTCTAAATGGGGTGATTGGAATAACTAATCAGCATGCACCCAGTTTGCAAAAGTCGCGCTTCTGCAGCTGGTCGAACTAAACGGGGGACTAGAGGAGAGCAGTATCTATCGCTGCTTTCAGGCGGTGCAGCAGTGCCTGAGGAGGAGGAGAAAGGGCCTCGGGGGTCAGCTTCTTGAATTCCTCGTTGGCATTCAGAGAGGTCAGGACCTTTGCAGTCCTTTTTAAATCGAAGACTGCATGCAGCATGCCCAAACCAGAGATGGCAGCTCTGTAGGAATGTCTGGAGGCCTCTTCTTCCGCGTGGTGGTTCTCAAGGACGAAAATCCGGTTTTCTGCGATGACCTTGAGGAAGTTGTAGAACTCCTTGTAGTCAATGCCTGTGTAGGACTTCATCAGTACCTGAGGAGGGAAAAGCACGGCTGAACCGCAATAGCTGCAGCATCGGATTATCGAAACCCGAGCCCCGGTTTCCATGGTACGTTTTAGTAAGTTGTACTGGGAATTTTGAAGCAGTATTCTGCTTTAATTTCGGCTTTCTTGCCTTTATTTTGTATTGTTCATTGCTGTAGAATCTGTTTAAGATGGGGAGCAGGATTAACTGAAACTACCCACCCAACTTCATATATACTGAGCTGCTGAGCTGACCCCATACGCAAAGACAGCCATGTCGAAGCCAGGGATCCAAGCACTTCCCACAATGGAATGCTGTTGTGCTTAGCACACTGTTCTCAGCAACGGAAACAGAAGATGCATGGCGATTATTCTCCACAGGCACTAGAGGAAAACGCTGCCCGGTGGGTGGTTCGTGGCAATCGCCCATGTGTCCATCCCATCTCTTCCCCTGACGGCCTGACCACAGTCAGTCAGCGGATATGCTGGGAAAGTTTACTTGCTCAGGCAAGCAGAGTGTGTGAACTGCAGCCTGGCCTAAAGCAACCTGAGCTGCTGCTGCGACCGCTCCAAGAGCCACCCTCGCTCCCAGCTACCTCCCTGCGCTTCACCCCCTCGGACACTCGGCAGCCAACGGGTCCCCGCAGCCACTCCTGGGGCTCCCGGTGGCCCGCGGCTCTACCTGGCATTGCAAGTGCCAGTCGTCCATGCTGTCTTTCCATTCTCTGATTTCCCGCTGGACAGCAGCTAGCTCGTCCTGAAGGAAGCTCCACATGATGGCCACGTTGCACCCGTTCACCCAGTTGTGGTTGATGGAGATGGAATCCTCCTGAAAGAAGGAGCGGCAGCCTAAATGGATCCCCCTCTTATTCAGGCAGGCGGATGCTCTCTGCCTGGGCTCCTACCGGGAACACATCTGCACTCCGGGATACAAAGTCTGCTTATCCAGTCATGCAAGGCCAGATAGCTAAATGGTCTAAGGAGCAAAAGAAGTAACCGGTCAATTGTCTGGATATCAATGTCCTCACCATCCATTGAGCAGCTGCCCTGTGAGAAAATGGAAGCAAGCATTCCAGGTTCTCTGGAGGGAATTCAAGAAAGAGGACGTACACCAAGGCAGGAAATCGGGTGATCAGAGAGGTGGCGGGGTTTGCTGCGAAACGTCAGGCCAGAACTGGCCAACCACCTGACTGACCTAATTCTCTGGCCTTCCTTGTTGGGAGCACATGAAGCTGCTTTCTACCGTGTCAGAGGAACGGTGCACCTGGGCTGGTGCTGCTTGCTGCGAACGGCAAGCACTGTCCAGGGCTGGGGCACAGGCCCTGCAATCCTGGGTTCTCGGGACTGAGTCTGGGACCTTCTGCACGCACGCCATGTGCTCTTCCCGGAAGCCTGCAAGCTTGGCGTGCGGCTTTTCAAAAACCGAAAGCTGCACCACCCAGCCAGCTGTGGTCCTGCCCAGCAGCAGCGGCTCTCTGCAAGCCTTACCAGATTGTAAACCTGATGGTGCCACCCGCTTGGGATGAAAACAATTTCGCCGGCTTCCTGAATGATTTCCACAGGAGGGCTGCTTTGGGCGTAGCGAGGGTAGAGGTTGCTGTTCTTGAGCTCGGGCGCAGTGATGTCAAACGGCAAGTGGCCGTGCCGATCTCGCAGGTGCTCCTCCTGCCCCGGGGGGAAGAGCAGCCATTTCTTCTTCCCACAGATGTTGGCCGACCAGCTGTACGAGCGGAAGACGTCGGCATGGAAGGGAGTCCTGTGAGGAAGAACAGAGAGTCACACACAAGCGGGAGGAACAGCTGCAGATCATGAATACAGACAGCAGGTTCCCCCTCGCTCCACTATCTCACTCGAAACATTTAGCATCACAGCTTCTCAAAACATGACAACTTTACTCCAGAGACAGAGATGTACGTACCCCAAGCTGGAATTCATTTTGGCCAGCCTGCTCAGTCAGGCAGTCATAATTAGATATCCCTGCATGGATTTCTATTTTTCCTTCCCCATGCCGTCTCAGATGAACACAGTAATTTAGAAGGCATTTGCCTGCAAATACAGATACACACTACACTCTTAAGACAACACATCTAAACCACTCTGCAAATATAGTACAAATTCAGACTAGCTGCTGCTGTGGAAAGCCAAGAGCTTCCCTAATTATCTTGACAGCCCTGGAAAGAGGTGATGTCTCAGAGGAAAATTGGTACAAGCATCTTCCTGATGGCACCCGTGGCTTAATACGCAGGAGCCAGATGTTCCCAAAATACAGAGAACGGAGCTCTGGCTCGGTTCTCTAAGGCTGGTGCGGGAGATCCCGCTGTTTTGCCTTAGTGGTACAAAGGTGCACAGCGCTTCCAGCTGGAAAATTTACTCTTCTGAGAATGTTCTGAGCATGTGCCATCTACTGCCTTCCTCCAAACTACTCCTCTGCAGTCAGTGGGGCAGCAGGTCCTACTGGAGTGACCTGAAGTCTCCACCTCTCTCCTGAACAGAAATCATCTTTCCCAAGAGGACGTGTGGAAGTATCCAAGTGGCTGTACCATGAGCCTTTGGGTCCCATGTAGACAAATCGATAGTCATCCACTGCGATGGCATCCCAGTATTCATTCAGCCAGTCGGATGAGAAATAGATGGGGGTCGTGTAAACATCGTGGTCTGAGAAAGTCCTTAAAACAAAAGTACCGAAAAAATGCAGCTTAGGGGAACAACTACACTTGATGTTTGTTCAGATGGTGCACAACAGCATGCAAGCGGCCTGAGAAGTAGGCCTCCAACCCCCAAAATACCAACAGTCGCCTTCCTGCATGCTTCACAACCTGCATTTGGTTTGTCCTAGTCTTGCGCTGATTTAGATATTGTCTCCTTGGGATTCCTCCTGATCCTTTGGGAGCTCAAGAATCTTAGCCATTATAGTTTCTTTATTTTAAAGGATTGTGTTTCAGAATCTCAGAGAGCATGGGAAAATGGCAGTGGTGAGTTATACATGCCTGGCTTCACCCTTCATACAAGTAGATGTGACGGGACCAACTGGGAATGCAAGAAACCACCGAGAGGAACTGCTGAAGTGGCCCTTAAGACTCGGAATCTATCCCTGAAATACTGGATGTGGGAGGCATACCACTGAAATCCAACTGCCTTTCCATTCTGCTCTTTCGACCAGCGATATGAGCTTTGTGCTGGGATGGCGAAAGGAGCTCCTCTGTGCCTGCAAAGGAGCCTGCTCCCTACAGACCAAGCACAGCATCACTCAAATACATGCAGACACACACAGGAAAGACGGAAACACCGCCAGCCGGTGCAATCAGAAGCAGAGAATGCCGGGCAAACACACCGCAAGGGATGCGACCAAAATCAGCATCATCCCCCACCCAGACCGAGCACCAGGCAGTCACGGGAGTAGGTTCTCGGGGTGCAGGGTTCTGAATCAGGCATCTGCTACCTGGAGCACTTTGGAAAGTGTGATCATCTAACAAGGAAGATCAGAGGGGCAATTCAGCAGCATGCCAGGGCTTCAAAAGAGCATGCTAAGGACTTCCACTCTGCTTACCTCTGCAGGTGCCAGTCTTTGAGGTAAAGGCACCCTCGAGCCGATCGATAGCTTTTTTTAATGTGTTCTTTCCAGTAATTTATGTAATCCTTGAGTTTAAGATGTTCCTTTGGGTTAGAATTGTATTCCTTGACATCACAGTTGGCAACAGGAACTACAGCTTCTCCTGCAATATAAACTCTTTGAGCGATGTTGGGGAAAAAACCTATTGATGCTACCAAGAGAGGGCAAGGACAGCAAGCGCACCGCTCTAAGACAGTGCCTATGAGGCACAGCCAGGCTTTGCAGTGGCACAGGGGAAAAAAAAGGAGCCATCTCCTTTTGCTTCCCAATGCCTTTGCCATCGTCACGTTCAAAACCCTGATGTTACCCAGCACAGTGACCACAACTGAAGTGTGAGGTTAATATTGACCCATCTTACAAGGTTGCTGTGAGGACTACAAAATAGCACTTGTGAAGCACTTTGAACAACCCTGAGGGGTATATAAACCCTACAGAATTTTAATATCCCTCCATTTCTTAGGGCACATCTGACTTTGAACTGACCCTAGAATACAAATACGTCAGCTGTGAAGGAAGTATCCAGCGTGCACTGATCCTTGAGGCACACTCTTTGATATCCAGAGTCCAAATCAGGAGCTCTGAGGCGCCTCAGGTGACTACTTTCCCATCTTCCTGACCCTACGACCCTTCCCTGGCCACCCACTCTTTGGTGACTGCCCAGCTTTTGTGCAGCTTTTCCTACCATCCCAATGCCTCGGGTAAAGCGGAAGTACTGGTGGAGCTTTAAGCTGAGACATGCCAACATATGGGGTATTCTGACCCCGTTTGTCTTTAGCTCTGCTCACCACTGAAAAGCAGATCCTGAGGCTGCCTCCAAAACTGAATTTGGCCACCAGACTGAAATAGGCTCCTTGCCCTTATGTAACACGTGCTCAACATGTGCCTGTTAAACCTTTTCTCGAAAACCTCCAGCGAGACCATATTTAAATGCAAAAGGGATGAATCTACCCATTTAACAATTGCACAAGCTTTCATTCACTGATACTATTTGGGAAACAATGCAACCTGGGATATCAATACAGGATGAGATGCAGCGTGCAGCTTAAGGCACTTGAGTGGACTCCGGGGGATGGTGGAGGACAGGAGAGCCTGAAGGCATGTTGTCCATGGGGTCTTGATGGGTTGAGCACGACTTTGCGACTGACAACAACAACTTAAGGAGGCTGCCTGTAAATTCTATTTTGTATAGAACATCAGGGGGTCCATACTTTCTCTGTGCAATATGAACCATGGCAAGGATGGCAATATTTTGCGGCAAGGATGATGAGGGGACTTCTAGCCCGCTTCTCTCGCTTGGGGCTGGGGAGGGTCTTTAAAGAGCAGTGCAATGCTAGGAAACCTCTTTCCTCTAGACTGGAGCTGAAAGAGCCGAGTGTGAGTGGTGAAGGACTCTGCACCTTTGCTGCTCAACATAAAGACACGTCCTTGTTCCTTCTACCAGCTCCAAAGGTCTGGATTGTTCTAGGTCTCCTGAGATTTAGGGCAAAAATAGTTGGGAGAGAGGACGCAGAGCCCTTGCACACGTTTTTGATTAGGCAGAATAGGTGGTACCCTGGTAAAAGCAAAAATGCACTTTAAAATAATGCACTTAATAGAGGCTGCCTTACCAAAAGAATGCAGAAGATACTCGAAGTTAGGCTTCCCATCTGGAGTCACCCACTTCCTCCTGCTCTCCCAGCCCTCAGTAAACTTTGCTGAGAAAACGCAGGGATCATTGGGGATCAAGTAATCTTTGAAAAAGTCTGCATAAGTGAAAGTTTCTGGCTTCTCAATGTAATCGACATGTTCATGGGGTTGGCAGCTTGCGCCCCTCGATGGGCCAGTATAATCACGAAAAAACTTAGTGGAGTAAGCAAAAGTATCCCTGTCCATTCAGGCGATAGAAAGTGTCTGACACCTAACTTAGCAGGTGACAGAAAAAATTAAAATATTTTAAAATAAATAGCGGGCCTATAAGACCAGTAGATTAAAAAGCAAGAATCAGTGGGAAGGGATGAATCAGGAAAGATGAAGGGGATAGAAGAGCACTGTCCAGTTCCAAATCTTGCTGGAAAATCTTCCCATTTGGCTTGCACTCTGTATGGCTAATTATGTTCTTTGTGGCTTTTCGTTTTTGAGGACAAGAAAGCTTGAGAAGCGAGATTAAATGCCAGCAATTAATGGCTATTTATCTGCACAGAGCTGCTTCTCTTCAGCAGTGGCGTTTCTGAGTAGACCAGTGTGCTTCCTCGCTCCTTTTTGGCATGTCATGGAGAACAGCATTCAAGGACAGTCTCCTCTGGAGATCTAGAAACAGAAAAGGAATGCGCACACGTCAGAGCAATAAAGGCTCCCGCATTCGTCGGAAGAGACTCCCAGTTCTTGAGAAGCCTGGTTTTCCAAACACCTCATGCTATGTGGGTTTGTTCATGCTGTAACACTCAGCAATGAGAGCAGGTCAAATGGCACACGTTTGCCACCCACGACAACCTTGTGTGAGAAAAGTACCACCAAACCAACCATTCTGCAAATGCCAGTTGAAGACACAATGCTGCCCAAGCTGCACTGGACGAGGGAAAGCGAACTCCGTTTCCTTTGTGTCCACACACAACAGATGCAACCACCAACTGACACACTTTGGACCAAGGAGGAGCTCTCCCTGCCAACCTATTTTTCGCTGGTCAGACACAGCCATGGGGCTCTCCCAGACTGGAATGCTATGCTTCGCATGCGAAACCTTCCAGGTCCAGACCCTCAGATCTCCAGCAACAACAGCAAGTCATAGGTGCTGCTAAAAGCCAATCTGATTTATTTATTTTAAACTGAATTAGAAATGACCAATGAAGTGACTTGTTGTTTCTGGTTGGAGCTGAAAGACCCAGGGAAGGAGTGTTCAGTTTGCCCTCTACACATTTTTCCTGATCTGAAGTGTTCCCCGAAGCTGCTGTTTGCCCCAAGGGGGAAACACACAGACATACAGAGCACCGCATGAAGCAAAGATCCGCTTCAGGGAAAAGGAAGGACTTGGTTTGATCCTTCAAGTACTGCAAGATTGCTCTGAGCCTTGAGTCCCAATGCATTTACCTTTCAAAAAACAAAGAACCTCTCAAATCCAGACTGTGTCTGGTTTGGCCCTGAGTCTCACCCAGAAATTCACTCCTCCATGGCAACAAGCTGCCAGCATCTCGCACTTCGCGAACTGCGGCCTCAAACTATCAATCATGAGACCAAGCTTGAGGCTATTAGGTACAACAGACTTGTTTTGAAATAAAGGCCAAGTGTGGCAACGTGAAAAAGAGCAGGAGCACTGAGACTGCAAGCTGGCAATCCTGGGCTGCCACCACAACTTTGGCTAAGCTTATTCCCATGAAATTCCAACAACTACAGCATAGCAGACTGGTAAAATTGCATTTATTGTTATTAGTTTTATTTCTACACTGCCCAATAGCCAAAACTCTCTGGGCAGTTTGTTGTTATGTGCCATCAATCAAGTCTCCGATTTATGGAGACCCCGTGAATTAAAGTCCTACAAAATGTCCTACCCATGACAGCCCTGCTCAATTTACAAGAGCACATAAAACACAACCCAGACGACAATAAAAGCACCATTAAACTTACCAGATAAAATGTAAAAGCCAAATTCAAAATAATGTAAAAAGCTACAGTAGCTTATACAAATTAAACTGGAAGACCCATTTAAGCCGCTAATATGAGCTCCAAAAAATATTAAACTAATTAAACGATTTGTGGCAGAAGACAGTTTTAACCTGGTGCTGAGAAAGTATTAAAGTTGGCACCGGGCAGGCACGGGGAACCTGCTCCTTAACCAGGCAGTCACTGCTGGTGGTCTCCTTGTTGCCCCTAGGCCAAACGTCCCTCGGAGGCAGTAACTTGAGGAAGATCCCAGCTCTTAGTCAAGGCAGTAATCTGGATATGCTGCAGTTCGGAGAGGTGTTCTCCCAGGTATTCAGGTCCCAAGTTGTGCAGTCCTTGCCCCTCCCATGTCAAAACCAGCCCCATGAACTGGTTTGGATGCACTGAGGCAGCCAATACAAGCAGACCAGAATTGGAGTTGTCTGGTCCCTGTTATGTCCGGATGATGCATTTTGCAGAAGCCACACCTTCTTATAACAATTTTCAAGGGCTGCCCCATCTACAGCACAGCGCAGTAAACTAGCTTAGAGATTACTAAAGCGCAGATTACTAAAACCAGCTATTCCTGTCCAGATGGGGGCGTAGCTGGGCTTCAGGCTAAAGCTGGTGGTGGGAGCTTCATGCCACTGAAGCTAGCCGGGCCTCAAGTGACAAAGATGGCTCAAGGAGCACCCCCAATCAACAAATCTGCTCCTTCAACAGGAGTGAGACCCCATCTAGAACAAACTGCATTCCCTCCGGGCAGGCAGAAGATCCGTCCACTAACAGCCATGTCAGGACTGCCTGGATTGAACTATACTTTGTCAACCTCATCCTGTCCAAGGTTGTAGCAGCGCACCAGTTTAGCACACTGTGGTCTCACTTTCTAATGATCAAAAGGAAAAGCTGAGCTGTGTCACCAACAAACTGATGGCAGCGCACTCCAAGCTCCTGATGTCCAGATGTTCAGTGCTTCCATGTCAATGTTAAACAGCAAAGGGGACAACACTGACAACTGAAGAACCCCCTAGTGGAGAGTCCACGGCACAGAACAATCTCACTCAAGCACCACCTTCCGGAGCTGTCCATCCAGGCAGGTGCTGAACCTATCGAACGCAGTGCCATCTACTCCCAACTCAGCCAACTGCCTCAAATGGATACCATGGTCAATGGCACTGAAAGCTGCCAAGATCCAGGAGCATCAAGGAGGCCACACTCCCTGTCTCTCTTCTAGGACGGGTAATCATGCCCAGGTGTTTCCAGGTTTTAATTGTAATTGTTACTTATATTGTATTTATTTCTGTGAGCCATCCCGAGGCTATATAGCAAGGGGATGGCATAGAAAAACTTTAAATAAATAAATAAAATCATGCTGGGCAAGCAAAATTGGTTTTGTGCCAAAATCTGGCCTGAAATGGATCCAGGAAATCAGTGTCATGCCAAGAGCTGGTTGGTCACTACCTGCTCAAAAACCCTGCCCAGGAAGAAGACGTTTGCCTCCAGCCTAAAATTAAGATTTTCAGGGTCCAGAGAGGGTTTCTCCAGGAGTGGCCTCATCATCTCCTGGTTCAGGTGGAATGGGACCACTCCTTCGTATGAAGAGGCATTCACCACCTCCCTGGCCCGACCAGCAATTTTCTCCCTGCTACCTTTTGTTAGCCAGGAGGGGCAAAGATCCAGTACAGCCGTGGTTGTGTGAACCTGCCCAAACACCTTGTCGACACCTGCAAGTTGTACAAACTGGAACACATACAAAGGAACTTCACTGCCTGCCGCTCTCATGGCCGCATGTGTTACCCATGTGATGCTGTGCGCATATATTCACAGCTAAGTCCGTATGATCTGACGAGAGCTTGCTACTAAGACAGAGGGAACAGGACCACAGACAATGGAAAAGAGAAAGAAAAGCAGTATCTGCACAACCCAGAACCCCAAAAAGAAACAGAAAGGGCCACGTTTTGGCCACACAACCTCCCTTCAGCTACAAGAGCTTTGATCCTCCCCCATCCTCAGAATCCGAAGAGCAGTAAATTAAGCATCGTGCTTCATTTTAATGCTACTGAATTGCTCTGTATATTGTAATTATTGTAATTGAAACTGCTTTTAAAATACATTTAAAGGGGACTCTAATAATATTTTAAATGTAATGCTAATATTTGTGTGCAAACTGCTTAAGGATGTCATTATGTTAAATAAAGGACCCATACTACAAAAAAATACAATGCCCCTCAGGATCCCAGACGCCACCCCCACCCCGGGAACATCTGACCAGCCCCCCACGCTTGGCCCTATGGTGCAACTCCAAACGACCCCGAACGCCACGGCGGCCCTCCAGATGTGGTGCGGCCGCAGCTACCACCACCCATCACCAACTGGGGTTGATGGGAGATGTAGTCTAACAATGGCTGGAGAACTGCAGGCTGCCACACTCCGACCGGGCCTCGCTCTGTGGGGATGGAAAGCGCTGCTCCCCATTCCCGTGCCTTCCTTCGACCCCACCCCACCCCCACCCCACTTCTGGGGCTCTGCCCCTCCCCCCATTGGCAGCCCAGGCCTCCCCTCGCCCTCACAGCCCCCTTTTATCTCCCCTCCCGCGGAGCCCGCGCCCCCTCCCCCGCGCCCTCCCCCGCGCAAGCGCAAACAGGGGCGAGGAGCGCCCCCGCCCATCTCCGCCCCCTTTACGGACCCATCCAGGCCCGGCTCGGCGCCTCACCTCCGCCGCCGGGATCCCTCGGAGGGCGCGCCCAAATCGCGGGGCATGCGCCGTCGCGTCCCCCAGGCGCGCGCGCGCGCGCGCGCGCGCTCCAGGGAAGCCGGGGGGGGGAGGAGAGCGCGCTCGGAGCCAGCGCGCATGCGTCCGCGCGCGCGCCCCGCGCCCGGACGGAGTGCGCCTGCGCCCGCGCCGAGGCGGTGCGCGCGGGAGGAGGTGGGGAATCACGGAGCGAGGGGCAGGGAGCCAATCAGAGCGGGCGCCGGCTCTGCGCAAGCGCGGTCGAGCCGGCGCGAGGGTCGGACGCTTCCACCGGCGCCCGGAGAGTCGCCTGCGAAGCGGCGTCCTCGTCGTCCGCCCCCCTCCGCGAGCGGCAGGTGAGTGGCGCCGGGGAGGGTGAGGGGGGCTTGGCAGGCCCCCCTGTGGGCGTCCGTGGAGGCGCTGCCTTGGGGACCCCGCTTCCCGCGGTGGGGGCGGGGCAAGCCGAACCCCTCCCCCTCTGGGCGCTGAATCTGCCCGGCAACTAGCAGCCCCAGGCCCGTCCGGCCCATTGCAGCTGAGGCGGCCGGCGAGCTTTGCACAGGGGCTGCTCTGCAGGGCTGCCCTGGGCGGGCAAAGGGGCCTTGGGCCGGGGAGGCCGCTCTCTGCCGCGCTGAGAGTCACGTCTCCAGGTGGCACGTGGGCCTTGCCCCCACCTTTCTCTGAAGATCAGCGGCACTGGCCCTCCAAATGCGGTGGGACTGCAATTCCCATGAGCCTTGGTCTGCACAGTCAGTTGTGGGGGTGATGGGGGTTGTCATCTGGAGGGGACACTTGTTCCCCACCCTTTCTGTAGGGCCATGTTCTTGAGTGGCGCTGTGTGTCTGTTAATAGCAAAGGAAGGGATGGTCCTGAGGCTCCATAAGGCCCGGCCCAGTTGCTCTTCATCCTATGCATGAAGCATTTCTCTTCACCTTGCAGACCTGTTTAACTTTTGCACAGGCATAGAAAGGACAGAAGAGAGCGATGCAGAATTGTAAGTGGTGTGGCGGACCAGCCATGAAATACAAGAGATAGAGAGTTAGCAGTCTTTCTGTGCAAAGTGAGTCCAGAGAACATTCGCAGCTGTCACACTGATATAGCAAAAGCTAGGAAAGTAATACGCCTATTATTATTACGGTTCTGAATGAGCCTTGTGGCTGCACCCATTGAAAATTATGTAGACTTATCAGAGGCTTAATCTCTTGTATTTTTTGTATGCATTATGTTTCTTCTGCAGGAAAATAGCGCGCAATTCTTGCACTGTTGATTCTGAATCTGTTTACTTCAGTAAAACATTATTATTCTGTGCTCCTTTAATCTGAACTGTGTTTTCTACCACCAGCATACCCTGAAGATGTGGGGAATCTGAGTATTAGGGGCCAATCATCAGTACTTCAAAAATTAAAACAGTTGTGAAATTACACCACTGTTATGGAAAAACAAGGTTCTTAACAATCCATTTAGATAGACATGCCATGAAAAAGAATCCTGAGTCATTTCAGAGGTGGACAAACACATTGTGACATGATTTTTCATCAGGGAAGTTTTATGACTCCTGTGATGATGTAGATCTTTATTCACAGAAGCTCTTGGTGCAGTAAACATGTGAAGCTTCAGAGTGCCCCTAGAAACCCTTTTTGCTTTTCCTTGCTCACAGCATTTCCTCTGCCATTCTGTTCAAGAGTGTGGTCAGACCAGGATTTCATAATTAGCAAATCCAGCCCTGGGTCTGTTGACTGAGAAGGGTTTCGGCCTTGTTATGCACTGGGAAATGTGTTGAGCCACCAAGGATGGGTTCCACTTGAACCATAATGCTGAAAAAGTGCCAGAGCAGCTTTTTAAGCTGTTTGCTGGGGGAAAGCTGACAGGCATTCACGTTTGAAAGACTCATCCTTTGTTGCTGAGGGTAAAAATGTTTTGATTGCCCAAATGGGCATGGGAGAGGACACTGGGATCTGATAATCCAGTCAGAACTCAAAGCAGAAAAGACATGGGTGTTTGGATGCGTAAATGCTAATGCTAGAAGCCTCGGCCAAGATAGAGGGGTTGGGGTGCTGGGTTCTAAAGGGGAATGTGAACAGGACTGACATAATGAAAACCTGGTGGGATGCAGGGAACCAGCCAATACTGGCGTCTTTGTATACCAAGTCTGCAGGAATGAAAGGTGGGGAAGGGCATGCTGAGGCTGGGCTCACCCTGAAGGCAGGTAGTGTATCATCTCAAACCAGCTAGAAACCTGGAAAGACTCCTCTGGGAGATCTTACTAGCCCGCAAGAATAATTCAGCACATGCCACCCGAATAAAATACTGGGGTTTGTTTTGTCATGGTGAATGGAATCGGGGAGACATCAAGAAAGGGGTTAGAAGTTGGGGATGACTTTTAGATGGGCTGGATAAAGGCATATTATGTTGTGGCTATTCACAAGTTAAATATACCCTGGGTAGTTGTGAGTGAGTGCATTCAAACCTGCACTCACTGAACTAAACAACCCAGGGACACTGTGTCCCTAGGTTCTTTGTGAAGCCTGAACCTAATATTATGAGTTAGTGTTGCAACCCCGGCTTCTCTTATTTATTTTTATTATAATTATTTTATGGTGCTTGCTAGATTGACTTAAAGTATATTACAAACTAGTTTTTTTTAATAGTAAAAAGCCCTGGGACCCCTGGTTTGTTCTTGTGTTGGAAGTAGTTGTTGTTCCTCCTTAGCAACTCGCAATTCCATGTTCATTCACAGCAATTTTATTATTATTTGCTACATAGATTTATATGCCACTTTCTGGTGAGCATAAACGGTACAAAATTAAAATATAACTATAGCAATGTGGAAACAAATTGATAAACCAAATGAATTCTCTTCCACCTGTTCTAGTGATGGCCACCAACTTGGATAGATTGACAATTATGATTAGGGTTAAAATATAACAACCAATAGTGGAAGCTTTCTGGGCAGTTGACAACTGGATTCAATGAATTACACTACAGGTACAATACAGCAGCATACAGTTCAATACAAAGATTGATTGCAAAAACCATTTGAGCAATTCAGTCCATTCATTCATGCAAACTTAAACACAGTTGGAAAAACTCATGGAAGAGGAAGCGATTCCTGACTGCTAGTCTAAGACCTTTTTATTTAAAACTTATTTTAATTGTTAATTTATTGGTATTTATAGGATTTTAAATCTTTTAAGCCGAGATGCACCAGGTTTTAATATTTTTGTTGTGTAATTGTTGTATTTGTATATTTTGTTTTTGTTGTGAGCCGCCCTGAGGCTTTGTTGCGATGGGGGCAGCATAAAAATGTTTTCAATAAATAAATAAATATTACTCCAGTATCAGAGGAAAGTTAACTCTCAGTGAACTTCCTGTGGGCATCTCAGGACAATGGGTCACCCCTGGGAACAGAAAGCTGGACTAGGGGACTAGCAGGACTCTTCTCATGTGCATAAATGTCAGATGCATGAACACTGAAACGTCGTTGATGGAGATTGCTTGCCACTTCTTTCTCAGTCGTGAAATACCCAACAGTGCTCTGGGGAACGTGTGGGCACAGTGGCAGAAGGGCAGACATTGGGGTTCTTCCTTCCTGTATATTTTCCCCAATTAAGCCATCTCTTTAGGGTGGCCCCGGTCTTGTCCTCTGATTGTCAGGTTAGATCATTCAGAGCTGCTCATCCGACACGAGTGACCAGAAACTTAGAACGTCATCACGTGTCATGATATATGACATGTCATACAGTAGAGCACATGACGGGTCAAACGGGAACCGTGGATCACAGGTGTGCGGTGAATCATGCGATCCGAGTGTACATAACATCTCCAACATTCCTCAGACGCTTGGCGTCCGTCAGTGAAGAGCGCAGGGGCAAGTACCTCCTCCATTTCAGCAATGTCGTGCTGTCTCTTTTCCATGTGGCTTTTCTTTTCATGGATTTCTGGGAGAATTTGTGCTGTTATCTTACACCATATCTTCTCTTTTGGACCTAGGGTTTTCAGCAAGATTGGTGGGACGATTTCGGCTTGATCTGCCATCATGTTACCTTGTCTGTTTGTGGAGTCCATACTTTCAGAGAACTTCTGTAGGGTTCTCATCTCTGAAATCAGGAGGGGACTTACAAACATTTCAGAGAAAGCAACCCTCAGGAGGGTGTTTGAAGGTACTGACCCTACAAATGGACAAGCTGAATATTGGGAATTGCATACATATTGCGAAAGACTTTGGTATGAGTGGGAAGGGCAAGGGGCAGAATGCAACTGTACAGGAACTTCTTGTGAATGCTGGGGGGGGGGGCAAAATGGCTTTTTGTGTATTTTCATGTGTATTGTGAGCTTGTCGCACACGAACATGCGCTTCACTTGGGAATTTTATTCCTGTACTCTACTCGCCTATAAGCTGAATGTGTACACTGACCCATTAGAAAAACGCTGCATTAGAGTCCATTGTGGAAAATAGGATATTTTGTGCATAGCAGCTTTGCAGTGTCACAGAACAAGTCACTGAATCCCTGTGAAAGCTACTCAACTGTACATGATGTGATATCCTTTATTACTGGTCTATATTCAGAAAGACAATTTGGCTGAAATAATTTCTAGGCCGAGGATGTAACAAGAACAGTTGGCATGGTACTATTTTAAATCCAATTGTGTGTGGATCCGCAGTTTGATCTTTTGGGTTTTATTATTCATATTTTATTATTTGTTATATTTCTACCCCACCCATCAGCCCAGAGGCTACCTGGGCAGTTTTGTCCTAATGTGGTGATAAACTGAGGGGTCACATTTTAACCACAGAGGAGCTTGTGGCTTCTAATAGTAGTCCAGGTGCAAGGAAGCAAGAAAATCATTTATCTCATGTTAGTAATTCAAGTTGTCCATAATAGTTTGCTGCAGAGATTAATTTAATTTTGAACTGTAGAAATGCCATTTTAGGTCTTCGTTGGGTACATCGTGTAAATGATAGCAGCATGCACCTATTCATAATGTTTCATCACAGGCCTTTTAATAGACCAGCATTCACAGCGTGATTTGTTTTAATGTATTTTGTATTCGATGTTGTAAGCCGCCCTGAGGCCTTGGCAAGGGGCGGCATAGAAATGTTTTAATAAATAAATAAATAATAAATTATTCAGTGTCTGGTAACGAGGTTGTTCAAGCAAGGACTCCAACCCCGCAATTGTTTATTAGCATAAGCAATTGTTGTTGGGTTGCAGATTTAATACTGCAGCTCCAGTGAAATACGGCTTGCTGTGAATCTTTTCTATACATACTGGAAAATATACGTTTTCTCCTTTCATCGTGTTACTAGGACATGTGATCAGCCGCTGGCATTGCTTGCCAGGCGGTTTGGGGCAGGCAGAGGAAAATAATTCCCTTCCAGAACACACACATCACAGAATTTGCTGCCATACGATGTGGTGATCACCCTTAACTGAGGGGGCTTTCGGTGGAGGTGAGACAGCTTTGCCACAGTAGTGGAAGGTATCCTTGTGTGGTACGCCTCTCGCTCATGCTGGTAGCCAAGGCAGCGCTCGTGGCAAAGGCCTCTCCGAAGAGCAAACGAGAGGAGAGGGCTGCTTCCTTCATGCCATGCTTGCAAGCGTTCAGGAAGCATTTGGCCGGTTACCATCGGTGACAGAATGCTGGACTCGAATGGCTCTGCTTTGATCCATTTCACTGACGCCGAGCCCTTTCCAACCACCCCTGATGTGTTGCCTCTGGCAGCTTTCCCCAAGTGAAAGATGTGTTGGCTTTCAAGACCTGTTAGCTGCAGCCAGTGTGGCAGCAGGCTGGGATGCTGGGAATTGTAGTTCACAAGGTTTGGAGACCCCAGGTCGGGGAAGCCTGGCGTATAACATAAAGCAGCTATCAATCTTCCTTGTGTCGGGACCCATTTTCACTGCTGTCGCAACATGGGGGCTACTTTCCATGTATCTCTAATGTTGTTACCCTGTTTATTATGTCTGTCTAAATCAGTGCTTTCTCTTTTTCTTCCATGCTTTCTCTGCCAGTCCTTGTCTGCTCATGACCCCTCTGCCCTTTCTTCTGATTTCTTTTGCTTTCCCCAAAATATAAACTATACGCCCCTTACATTGTGGGTCTTTTTGTGGATTGCCACCCACTCATTCAATGCCGATGAACAAATTTGCTGGACTGTAACTCTTTGAATTCCTGATCCTTGTCCCTCTGGCCAGGACATTTGGGAGCTGCAGCCCAAATAATTGGAGGGTACCAGGTTGTCTCCCCAGGCTGACTTTTTCCAGCTTTTCTGGAAAAAGAAAGCCGGGCACTCATGGTGTCCTGTTCCCTTCACTCGAGGCGTTAAATCTTTGCTTCCTGTTTACTTGGGTGGGTACACTTCGTGATAGAGCACTTTATGTAAAGTCCTGGGATCATGTGTTGGCATGTGCAATTAAAACAAAAAACTGAAACCCAACATACTGGGTTGCAAAGCTGCGAGGTGTCGTTACCGTGATTTCTTGGAGGGCTGCTTCTAGGCGGAACTGGTACTGGGCTACATGAACTAATGCTTGAACTCAGTATAAGAGGGTACATCTATTCATAACCACAGTCTTATTTGCCAAAATGCCATTCTGTTCCAGGACCATGAGAGAGAGAAATGCTACTTCCTGGAACTTTGTATCCCAGGGGACAAAGTCCCAGGTTTGGCTTTGGGATCAATGGGTCGAAATTTCCTTCCAGTCATGGGTTTTAACTTTCCACCCAAAATCCCACACATGAACTATGGGGGATAGAGACTCACTGCGCAGCATTTCTTGAAAGCAAGTGAGGATTGTAAAGCCGGGACTGGATTTTCAGAAGGTCCTAGCCTGTTGTTACTGGGTTGGCTCATTTTGTTTGCTTCTTGTTTAGACGGGGATTGTTCCATTGGCATTGAGGAAGTTGAATCAAGCAAGAAGGTGATGAATGAGGACATCCGTATCCATTCGTGGCCCAGTTCATATTACCTCAGCTCCGAGAAACAATGGGTTTCTGGCAAACTCTCACTGACTCCCACTTCAGTCAGATTTACAGCTGACAAATCAGGAAGGCTCCTGGCCAGCTTCCATCTTTCTAGCATCAGTGAAATCAAGAAGGAATCCTCCAACTTCATCTTCAGTTCCCTCACTATTTTGGAAAACAGCACCAAGCACTGGTTCAGTTCTCTTCAGCCCAACCGGAATGTGGTTTTCAACATCCTTGAGCATTTCTGGAGGGAGCAGCTGCTGTCCTCGGAGGGGGCGGGGGCTCAGGCCATCTGTCCCCAGACATCCAAGGGGAAGGAGCTCAGCGGCTTGCTGCTGGGATCTCAGAAACGCCTTGAAGACACGGCGAAGGTGCTCGAGCACCAGGGAGAACAGTTCGATAACATCATGAAGGGGCTGAACAAGATCGAATCGGAGATGGATGTGGCAGACAGGTATGCAGACTCCATTCCGACTGGAGTAGGACATGGAAATCTCCCAGGAGGTGACTGGGGAGACTCCATTGCCACCTAGTTAACTTGCGGCGTTTGTGGTCGGGCGACGTGGGGTGGACGCAACGTGCCAACAATGGGCTTAGGCAGGAACAGCGTGGACAGGCTGATGAGAGGCTCAATTGAAACTTGTGGTTCACTGGCCAGTCATTGTCCCAAATGGGAAGTAAGACTCGATGGATGCTTTGTCTGCTCCAGCGGGACTTTAAAAAAAGGTGAATTCTTAGTTTGCAGAAAAGATCTTGAAAATACATTTAGTTTAACATGTACTTAAACCTGGCGAAGCCTGAGAAAGCATTAAAAACCAAGTTAAGAGCCTTGGGCCGGGATCCAAAGAGCTACTTCAGGCTTACTCTTCTAGAGCATGTGAGACTTTCCACCATTTTCCCCCTTCATTTTTTTTATTCGAACAGCTGATGGCTATATCATATTACTATGTCTGCTTGGAAATGTTAAAAGCAGTTTGTCCTGTGGAATTGCAGGGCTGCTGTTGGAGAAACATGAATCCTAGAGCCTGTTGGGTCCATGAAACTAGGCACATGGCATTTTGGTTTCCAGCTGTAACTAAAGAGGGGGACCACTTAATCTTAGCAGTGGAGGAGAATAGCTCTTTCCTAAGTTGGAAGCTGAGTCCAGGGCTGTCAAAATCCCAAAGTTTCCCTGTGGGTTTTACTAGCTCCCAAAGGGCAGGCTGGGGACTCACCTGTGCGACTCCCAGGACAGGTGGCATGTTACTTCAGCGTGGTTGACGGCAAACTGTCGTTGTTTCAGCAGCAATTCCATCAGGGTGTCTCAGTGGATTTTTTGTTGCCAAGGAGAATACACGGAAATGGTTCTTGGGTCAGGTTGTGTGATACTAAGAGGCGTTTTGCTACAGAGACAGAATTCCATTGTTCCAGTTCCTTGGCAGAAGTTTGAGAACTGCTTTGTTACAGCGTAGAACATCCTGTGAAACAGCTGCTGAATGGATTGACTACTTCCCCCCGGATTATTTTTCAAAGTTCTTATCCCAGTGAGCTTTTTAAGTGCAGTTTTGAAATAGGAAACAACTGGAACTCTCCGTCGAGTATGATCTGTTTTACATGGAGGATCCTTTGATTTGTTGTGTTCTTGGACAGTCCTCATGCTTCAGCATACGAATGAATGCTGTTGTTATTTGTGGCTAATTGTGGCCTGCAAATTCAAGATTATTCAGTCTCCTCCGTTTTGGCTCGCTTCCTTCTTTAGAATAGCTGTCTGACTCAGAATCATTAGCAAGAATGCAATGCAGCCTGGTCTTTAAGCAGTTCTTATCCTTGCTTCATCTTTTGTAAAATGAGAATAACAGAGAAGTGTGTGGATTGTCCTTAATTAAGGAGGCTGCCCAAGTGGGCTGAGTACCTGTGATGTGAGGGAACATTCATGAAATGCAGACTGCTCCTGGTTTGCTATTGCTGGGGAAGAGAGATTGCCGCAGAAGTGAGGGGTCATAGCTGCAGACTCAGACAGGAGAAGGCCCAGCAGGGGTTGAGGGAAGGGCCAAGTGGACGGCAGAGTGACTGCGCAAGGACCAGAGAGGAGGATGGGGGTGAATAGAAAAGCATATGGCCGTGGGGGACAGACATTTTTCTGAGGAAGGGCACCGGCCAAGAATGATCAGGGGAAAACTTCTCAGAGGATCTTGGAGAGCTGTGCTGATGCGAAGAAGGAAACAGATCAGCAGGGAAGCATTAGAAATTGGGGTGCTCTCCTCGATTTCTTGTGCGAGTCCCGGCGAGAGAGACGTGCCAAGGTGGACAAGGGCAAGTGAGGCTGGCAGCTGAGTTTCACATACTGCCAGCTCACATCGCAATTTTTCAATTCAGTCCAATATGCCTAGCAATTATGGAGAAGACTGGAGGTTCTATTGGTATTGACTGTTCCAGTGATCTAGGAATAAGCAGTTTACCAAAGATTTAATTTGAGAGTAAGCCCTGAATTTCATTTTTTACAAGTTTAGTCTCAGGAATTAGCTTCTGGGGGTCTTGGGACAATTTTTGGATGTATAAATTTACCAATATAAGTGAGGCAGTGAGAAGGCCTTACTGATGACTGAGTAAGTTTCAGATTTTATGAATCATGTAAACATCACACATTTATTTATTAGATTTGTAGCCCACTTTTTCTCCATCAAACGCAGAGCAGCTTACATAATTCTCCTTCAGCTCTCAATCTTGTCCTCCCAACAACAACCCTGTGAAGTAGGTTGGACTGAGAGTCCATGACTGGCCCAAAGTCACCCAGTTGGCTTCATGGCTGAGCGGGGAGTAGAAGTCAGATCACCCAAGTCCCAGTCCCGTGCTCTTAACTACTGTTTCTGAAACCACGGTTTGGTTAGCACTTTATATGCAAATTAAACTTGTCTGCTTCCAGCTAGTTTTAAGACCTGCTTCTGGCTTTATATTTTAGAAAAATAGATGGATTTCTTTTGGGCAACCTGTTTGACCCTTGCAAACTTGTTTTGGGCTTTTCTCTGAATTCCAGCTCTACAAACTGACAAATTATGCGAAGTGCAAAGATTTCCTTCAAGTGTAAATAGTTTTGTAGGAATTTTTTCTGCTGAAGCATGCATGGGAGGGCACTTGAAATGACTTGCAGAAAGGTCCATCAATGGCTCTAGGTCTGTGGCAGGTATCCTTTCTCTGACAACCAGGTACTGGGGATAAGTAACCTTGAACATCCAGCTCCTGGTGATGGGGCAAGCTGAAATGTTTAACTCTAGATAAATTCCTAAATTAATCTCTGGTTAGTCTGTCTGTCTTTATAATCATGTGACATTCCTGTTTTGAATCTGTGGCATTCCCCTTCCTTCCAGGTTATTGTCAGAACTTGAATCTCCGGCTTGGTGGCCTTTTGCTGGCAAACTGTTGAAGGCGCCCTTAGAGGGGGCAAAGCCAAAGGAAGCCCCCACAGTCGCTGGCTCTGGAAACAAGGAAGGATTGATAATACAGATCCCGGCCCTTATCACTGAAGGGACGGATTCTAATGTCAAGCCAGGCAAACTTGCCCTCTTGGCTTCTGGTCTGGAGATCAGCAACTCCAGTTCTCAGGTTCTTCATTGGTTTGACAAGAAGGATGTAGATGTTGTCAAAGTTCACACTCCATATGAAATCAGCGTCCGCCAGAGGTTCATTGGGAAACCCGACATCAGCTACCAGCTGCTCTCTGCGAAGATGCCAGAAGCCATCCCCATCCTAGAGATGCAGTTCAGCAAGAAAATGCAATTCATGGAGGCTGCTTTGGGGTTCGTTAGGGCAAGGAAGACCCATCCGGAAGGCATTGGCACTTCTATTTGGCAAGCAGGTAAAGGGCAAAAGGAAAATTATCTGCACATTAATCAACAGAACTAAACATCTTCAAATAATTCGAATATGTTGGTGAGGAATACTTCTTAATAGTGATCATGATAGTTATCATACGGTCCTTTAGGATACCCGGAGCACTTCACATGCATGATTGCAGAAATCCTTTTGATCGACATTTAAGGTAGGGTCTGTGTTATGAACCTCGTAGTGAGTGTGTTTTTGTGGCCACAATTTGAAGCAGAGGTTTCCTGATTTGTCGGCACCTTGGACACACCCTGAGAAATCAGTGTTGTTCTTTTGAAACCCTCCGCTGCTGTGCTCATCCGAGCTTTCTGCTTCCCACTGACCAATCTCTGCATGCTCGTTTTTTTCTCGTACAGAGCAATCCAGGATATTGAGGAAAAAGCCTGGAATGTGGCATATGAGTTGCCCCATTTTGGTCAAAGGTTTCCCCTTATCCCTTAAGAAGAATCCTTTTGTCGTAGTCCCCTGTCTCCTCTGGCAACTGGGTTGTATATGCAGGAGAATCACCGTTGGAGCGACCCTAAATTTTTATCGGAGCAGTCTCAGTGGATGAGTGTTCGACCGTCAAATTCTGCCTGAATTTGGGGTTTCCAAGTCCCTCCCTACAAATATTTAGGGGACGGCTTGGAAACCCCCTCTGGATATTTAAAATACAAGACCTCAGACTTGGGGACTGAGCGCCTATCCATGGGTGCATGGAAAACCAAGTCCTCATTTCCAGCCTGCCTTTCCCATATCACAACTTGGATGCTCTCATCCAGGCTTGTGGCCGTCCTGCACACTACTTTCGCCATCCGTTGCCTTCTTGCAGGAGTTGGTGGCCCACCGGCGATCAGCAGCGTCTGTGCTTAACACACCTCTTTTCTGCATGGGCACAATCCGTTCCCTCTGGTCAACTCGCTCCATGCCCTTTTCTGTCCTTTCATTTCGGTCCTCCCAGTGTTTCCTGGAAAAAATAATGTGTGGGAATTCTCAGTCTTGGTGATAGGAGCACACATTATGCGTATAAGGTCTCTGGTTTGGAGAGACAAAGCACAGCATTTGGGTTATATCACTCCAGCCTCTAGATGTTCTGGTGTCTGGGGATAGATATGTCTTTCGAAAACAGGTGTTTTTGTACACAGTGTTTAAAGAGAAATTTCCAGCACATTTGAAGATGCAGCGCAGTCCCAGGCTGGCTTCCTCACAAGCTGCGCTGTGTTGTGCCCCATGCTAAAATTAGATTTCAGCAAGGATTAAAATGTTCTCTCGCTGACCAGTTGCAGAGGTCCGGTGCTTGGAAAAGCTTGTTAATTTTTAAGGAAATTATTCCGAGGCACCTGGTGGCGAACGGGTGGTGCAGACAACTCAGAGGAAAAACAACCTGCTGCTTTTTCAGCAATGAGCTGCATCCTGGCAAATTTCTGCCCCAGTGACAACCACCACTCACATAAAGAGGTGGCTTTGTGTCGCTGTTTTTATCTCTCTCCCTCTTTGCCTTGCTGTGTTTTAACATTTAAGTCAGTGCGTTAGAAACTTTGATGTCCTGCCAGTGCCCCCCCCCC